TGAAGCTACCCCCTGCGATGTTGTCAGAGGCTACTCTCCTGCTCCGAGAGCCAAACTACTTTCAGGATGTTCCATTCAGCCTGAGAAAGAGGGGGGGATCGGCGAAACCAACCGGACATCCAAACAACTCAGTCAGCGTGTTAAATACGCTACAGCGACGTCTTCCTCCACCTTAAACCTGCACATGACTTCAGGTGTAAGAGGAGTCCACGCAGCAGTTGATTTAATCGTGTTTTTTCGTGGGTGGTTTTTTAAAGTGTGCCGACACACGGCGCCGAATGAATCCGTCCGAGAAGGTTGGTGAAACAGATACACTGTAAAGCAGCAGTGTGAAGACGCACAGGAGGTCATGGCGGGCCAGTGTGCCACATCCCTAAAAATAAGATCATGCCCACAAATGACCACTGTGTTCCTGTGACCTTTCAGCTGCGTTACAATCAGATATATAGATTATAAAGTACTGTGGCGTTGAGATATCGTGTGAAAACTTTATTTTTAATTGTTTATTTGATCCTTGAAACACCTGGAAACTTGCTTTAAATGTTAAGTGTTTCTATATAACTTTAATAACATAAAAAAACACCATCTTTAGTTTTATACATTTATTAACTCTCCAGCTAACCCAGAGTGTGGATGTGATTTGATCAGATCTGACTGACAGGTGCATAATAACCAATTCGTCATAAGACTTTTATTTTGTTAAATTCTGATTAATATTTTTTTAGCTCAAATCTCACCCACTTCAAAACAGTAAGACAGCACAGGGAAATAACTAAAATACAAATATCTTTACAATATTGTTCTAACTTAAGAGTGTTTCATATAGAGCTCCGTTGTTTATAATAATAAGATAATTAAAAATGCTTTTAATCTGGTCCCAAAACTCCTTATTGACAATTCATATCTGTCTGCTGCAGAGTATTTTCTATTTTGTGAGACTTTAACTGCACAACATTTCACTGGGAATTGCTGTGCTTTCCCTTTGCTGCATATAATCATTGTATTCACTTTGTAATTCACTTGTTGTTCTTTTTCCAAGGAAAACATAAAGCTCATAAATTATGTTGCACTGTTATAATGTATGAAATAGTTTCAGTAGACTAGCACCAGTCGTGCTAACTACAACCAACGGTGGAAGAAATATTCACATCTTTTACCTGAAGTAATAATAATAATAGCAACACAACACAAATACTTATCAAGTGTTTTACTAAAGGTACAGAAGTATTATCAGACTCATTAAGCAGCAGAAATGGCTGATGCTTTAAAATGTAAACAGCCTTTTAACAAGGAAAATAAAACTATAACCGTAAGCTGTCTATACTGTTTGGTTGCATTACATCATATTTCATAAGATGATCGTAGGTTTTATTTAGAAAATCTAAATCTGCTAATTAATTATAGTTTTTAGATAAATGTAGTGAAGTAAAAAGTAAAAATGTGCCTTTAAAACATGGTAAAGTTCAAGTATAAAGTACCACAAAATGGCAATAAATGTACTCACATTATACTATTGTCTACTACAACATTACAATACTGCTTACACCTTCACAGTGTGAGTTTTTTCTATCATTCACAAGTGAGCGAATACTGATTTTGTTACTTTACATGCAGTTACTTTTCCATGTTGCTACTTGAGTGAAGGATTTTAATGTTTTTTCCACTAATGCTCTCTGAGCTCACTTCAGACAGTAGGCACAAGGCATCTGGCATGCAGATGTCACTGCTGCCTGAGGCATGCGATGACAGCCACTGGCAATGGCTCAGTGAAGTAACCAAGTACTGCATACCATCATGTTGCCAAGTACAGCAGATAGGACGGTGCAGAGCCGGGGGTCAGGCATGAGGGATAACGGGAGAGAATTTAGAGGCCACGCGCTGACACGTAATTAACCAAAATCAACAACCTGTATTAATACTCTAAAAGACTGTGTAAAATGAGAAGGAGGACATCTGAGTGTGAGCAAGCTGTCATCACGAATGAAAAACTTTTTGGAGGTTAGGTGTTCAACGTTTCCTTTTTGCAGATACACGTGAGCTGAAGGATGCCAGAGCACATGACTGGGGTGAGATGGGGGGGACTGGAAGTGAGATGTTTTCCTGTGTCAGAGTCTGTTCCGCCGTTTGTTTTCCGAGCTTTGCTGACTCACCTCACCATGTCATCAGTTTCTCTCTCTCTCTTTGTCTGTGTGTGTGTGTTTAAGGAAAATGTAGAGCAAGAACAACCCATGTGAATGAAGAGGGAGGGAAAAGAACAAAAAAGAAAAAAAAGAAAAGTGGCTTGGTTTCCATCTAGTCTCAGCTTCCCTTCGACCTCTGCCTCCTGAACATTACATCAGCAGAAGTCAGGGACCGTCAGGAAGCGAAAACAATAGCAGGGGAACTAGAAACAGACCCTGCCACCTTCACTTTACGTCCCAAACACTTAATGAATTATAATACATTTGGGTAATGGTGTGTGAATTGGTAAACCGGGATGGAAAGAATTTCACTGGAACAATTTGATTTGCCCTAAAGGTTTATGACCCCAATCTACCGACCAAAACACCAACTTTATGTATATGAATAAAGTAAAATATGGCAGGGATGTACCAAAATGTGCTTCAGGGCCCTAAATTGCGCACTTGTATGCACGTTTCACTGCTGCAGTTTGCAGCCAAACCCACTTTAAAGGATGCTACCATCAATTTAAAGAGCATAAATCTTTCCTTCAGTTACTCTGTCAGTCACATGTACCGTGTACGATTACATTGTAACTCAGTAAAGAGTAACATAATCTAATTGTGAATTCGAAAAAACAGGCTACAGTAATCACTGCTGTTTTACATTAAACAGCTACAGCATGTTAAGCGGTTCCTGAGAAAACAATATATCTCTTTTTACTGTTTATAATTCAAAACATGTTTTAGGTCTTTTTCAAGGCTGCTGATAATTTATAATGACTATCTCTCTCAACCGCAGCCACATGGATAACTTTTCCCTTCTTAAACACATTGTATACATCAGAAAACACATTGTGGAGATCAAAACAGCACTAAACAGTGTCATATTCATGAAGTTCATACATTTTTATGGCTTCACAAGAAAGGGTTTATCCTCATAATACAGTCCCGGATTTTAGCAAAACATCAAAGACCAGTGGAGAGGAAACACATCAAAGTGACTGACCTCTGGCCCAAAAACACTCCCAACCACATTCCACACAATTACAGACACCAGAGAATGCCTGCAGAGGAAGCCCTACCCATGTACTGTTGGGATTTGTCAACTATGCACACTGAAATATGTTTACATTGATGTTAAAGTTTGATATTGTGCCAGCTGGCAGCACCGGCCTCCACTGGTCACGATTTGACTTTTTGAGCGTTTTACAGGCAACATTTAATTACATATTAGGCTTTTTGGAAAGTCTGACAAGCACAGGATTATCATTAGAGGTAAAAGAGTAAATATACGATATAATACCCAATAACAAACCCCAAATGTAATCACACATGAACTCATTAAGGTTGGTACAGGTATAGAATTCTGCTGCCATCTACAGGTGGTGTAACTTACATGTTATTGGAGTGTAAATTAGTCTATAGATTATCTCCATCTTTGTATAATGCAGAAATAAGTAGCAAAATCTGGCTTTAGTTGCACACAGCAGCCATACAGCTCAGCAAGGCGGGCCGAAATTCAAGAAGTCGATGAGGAAAAAGCTAAAAATAAGGTGTACTACCAGCTGTCATGGAAGTACGGGAAATGCTGACATTTTTAAAAGTGACCTTGGTTTGAATGCAGTCTCAATGTGTCCATTTACTTTTGGCAAACTAAAGTTATTGTACCGTGTACACAATGAGATTCCTTTCAAAAACTGAAATTATTTTCCGGATAGCCATCGACTGGTACTTAAAGGAGCAGTTTGACACTTTTTAGGAAATACATTTATTCTCTTCTTTTGTTGCGAGTTAGATGAAACCACTCATGTCTGTGCATTAAAGATGAAGGTAGAGCCTGCAGCCAGCTAGCCTAGCTCAGCAAGACAAGAAACAGCTACAGATGGGTGACAAATTAAAAGAAAAACCTCAATAAATCAGCAAAGAAACATAAAGAATGCAGATGCTTCCACACACGTTTACACATATGAACATCCCATAACGCTCTGTAGCATGTTTAAAAAGGCCGATCAGGCCCAGTTGATTTAGATTTTACTGTACGGCTGCAGTGTATAAACCTCTCATTACAATGATTGAAGCACATTTGAGAGTTCAGTGGTGCAAAAACCATAATAAGCACTGAGATGTGGAAAAAAGAGATACGCTCAGATGAGTCATCCTTCACCACATTCTCAACAAGTGCATGTGTCACTTATACAACGGGAGAACAGGCCCGAATGCTTGACCCCTACAGCGAGAGGCTGTGGGAGGTATTTTGCTGGGATCTCCTTAGAGGGAAGAGTCACTGCAGACCAATACAACGTTGTTCACCTTTATCCTGTGAGGAAACATTTCTATCCTGATGGGAATGGTCCATTCCAGGATGACAACGCAACCATCCACAGGGCACCAGAGGTCACTGAATGGTTTTAAGCATGAAAATGATGTGAGTCACATGCTGTGGCCTCCGCAGTCACCAGATCTCAACCCAATTAAAGACCTGTGGGAGATTTTGGACTGAAATGTTAAGAAATTGGCATCAGCATCAAAACACCACATGATGGAGTAACTTTTGGAAGAATGGTGTTCGTCCCTGAAGCGGGACACCACCTCACTAAGACGGTTTATGTTGGATTTTTCTATCATTTCACCAATCTGTACCTTGGCTCTGTTTAAAAGTAACTAAAAGGTTATTAGTGCATTATGTATTTTTTGTTTAAAACCACAAAAGACATATGACAGTGCGGTCTATCTTTAATCTTACTCTCAACAAGAAAGCAAACACACTTATTTTCCAAGATGTTGAAATATTCCTTTAAACATGATCCAACACAAGAGAACATTTCTTGACTCGGGATATTCAGCTCAGTAAACCATTTATTCAAGTATTTCCAACTAAGAAATCTGAAATTATTTACAGTACATTATGTTCACTAGTGCAGGTCTGAGCTTCGGTAACTGAGACATACTCAGACGTGACAACACAGAACATGACCATATATACAATAAATGTCACAATCCTTCATTATTCTACACTGTAACTTCATCTTCAGCCCCTCTCACACACATTCACTCCCAACAAACCTAAGTGCACACATGTACATATACAAAGACACGTACAGTTTCACTCTACGTCTCACAGAAGGCGTGAACCATTAAAGCCTTTTCACATCGAGGATGTTTTTCCCTGCAAAAAACTCACAAGAGAAATACGACTTCATTTGATGTATTCTCTAAGACTGCTTACATGTCAGCTGGGTAGTGGAAACACAACCTGTACCATCACTACTTTTGTGAATACCAAAATATGGATTTTTTTTTTGTGAATAGGGGCACCCTCTGATTATAGTTGAATTCAAATGTATAACATTTCATTCAATATATCAGTTTAATATGAAAGTTTGAATTTTCCTTTTGCTCTCCAGACCACAGTTCCGGTCTTGACTGTAACACCTGGAGACTGGAACAAGACTTCGCTCCAAGACAAGTACCTGTGGCTGCAATTCATAGTACATCAGTCCTGTGCAACTTTTCACACCTCACAGAGGACGATGGGGAAATCCACATGAATACAGGGGTGGTCGAGCTTCACAATTCCCTGAAAAATAAAACGATCAATATTCAAATCGACGAATCATTCAAAAAACATTCTTCAAACAGATCAGCAATGTGGCCCCAGCTCACCTGTGGAATCAGATTTTTCTGAATCCTCTTCAACTTGGACTTTTTTCTGCCATTTTTTGTCACCACTGTCTCTTCATAGAATTCATGGGCAAGGTCACCGTCCTCGTCGTAGTACAAAGAACTGTCAACACAGCAAGTAAACATCAGTTTTAAAGATCCCGGTTAATTTAACAATATATGCTCTGACAATAACAGAGGTTTTGCGAGTCCAACCCCTGACTATTTATTGTATTATTTCATGTTTTTATGTGTTATTATGCTGCATGTCTGCTCTGCTATCTACTCTTTTTTAACGTTACTGAATTTAATTAATCTGTCTCTGCAACCTAGTATGATCCATACACCTGTGGCCACTGTGGACAGCTTTTATTGGGACTATTCCTTCAGTAGGAAAGTAGTTCTAATAACAGATGCTGACAGTAAAGTGTGTGGATTATCTCGTGTAACCAGGAAATCGTCTACAGAATCACAGAGAACTGCTGAGAATAACAAAAGATATTTAGTTTGAGGCGCCCTGGGGGATTATGGGTTAGGGCGCTGACCATAAACCGCAGCCTCCCCACTTCCATCCGGCCTGGGACCTTTGCTGAATGTCATTCCCCATCTCTCTCTCTCTCCCCTTGTGTCATGTCACAGCTCTACTTTCAGCATAAAAGGCCTCTATTATATAGCTGTTCATCTCTTTTGTATTTCAGATATGGAGATCTCAAAACCTCATCAGACTAGAAGACCAAAACAACCTCCACGTAAAATACCTTAAAAAGAAAATATGTGGTGATTTGGGTTAACCGAATCATTACCATTTTCCAGTGATGTATTATTTACCTCCTCCTGGTAAAAACAAACGGTGTTGCATTTCTTGAACCTTTCATACGGGCCAAAGACTGCTCGTTCCCATCACTGGCTGAATCTCCTCCAGATCCACTGCCTGAGAAAGGCCAGACACCTTTGGCTTTGGATCCACTTCCTCCCATCCTCAGAGATAAGACATAGTCTCCAGTTAAAGCTTTCAGTCTGGTTGGTGGCCAGATGCTCTCAATTCCTTACCAAAGCCAGGATCTGAAAATTAAAAAGCGCACAGAGAGAGAAGACACTCACAATCAGACTGGTCTTTCTCTGCCTGGTGGTGTTTAATTGTGACTGCTGCCTACTGTAAAGACTGTTGATTGGTTGGATTTATATGAATAACTATATAATACAGTAGATTTAATGCACAATTAACGCTGTAGTCAATGTGATGAATGCCAATTTTACCCTAGAAATCGACTTTGTCCAACTCAGAGACGCGACTGAATCACAGCTGCTGACACCAGAACCATCATTGAGCATCTAAAGCTGAACTTAGATCAAAGTACCACACAAAAAAAAATAACCTCTCTTAACCCGACATTTCTGGAGATTCATGTATTTATATTGCAGCGTAACGTTATGCTAGCTGTACGGGAAGCTAACAAACTGGGCCAAACAACTACCGAACAGAAAAAACCCTCCGCAGTCAATCTAACATTAAATAACATTATTCACATCGTTATATTAACGTACAAACACAGCCATCGGTTAATAGTGAATGCACACGGTCTGTCTCATATAAAAACACCCCTCGGTATCCGGTTAATGCGGCTAATAATAACTCGCTAACGGTACCTGCACATGTAACAAGGTGAGTTAGCCTGTTAGCTTCTGCCACTGACGCAGGTTAGCTACACGAGCTAAACGATAACTACCGACACACACACACACACACACAAACACGAGACGATCTCGGACCTGCACCGCCGAAAACCGAGCCTTTCACACGTGATTGTGGTCAGCATCCTACCTTATCGCAGACGGTTAAATGGCCATGTCCTGTCATAACTTTTCACCAGCTGCTACGGTGAGCTAGCGTTAGCTGTTGTGGTCCCTCGCGATAAGGTGATCAGCTGATCTGACAGGCACGCGGCACCTCGACAGTTAAAAGCTAAAAACATTAAATTAAATAGTCGCTTGTGATGTGTTTTAAAAGATAAAAACAAGAAAATACAAAAACTGGGTAGAACTGTGTAATTCTTTACTGATTGCAGTGCACAGTTGGAACAACATCTTGAAGGTTGCTACATGTAAAGTTTGTGCATAGACGGATACAATGAGAATCACAAGACAAACATTTTCTTTTTAAAAAATAAAAAGGACAGAAAAAAACAAAGATATGAAGGAATGACAGACAGCTTCCAGTGAAACACATGTATACCAATATTCATTCATGATTCCAGTCAACCACAGTGACTTCAGCTCTCTGACATTCATAAATGCATACAAATGTCCACACATCAGTCAAACTCACAAACTGACGATAAAAATAAAATAAAAAAAAGAGTTGCACCCATCAGGGGTGTCGAGAGGACGTGGCAGACCTTTGAGACTCGGGCAAATGAAAACCCAGATACCTTTCTACAACATGTGTGTTTAACTTTCTAACAGGATGAATTAAAATGTCAATATGAGATTAACAAGTATGGTTTTCATGGTAGGTTGTTCAAGGACCAGACTGAGGTTATCTAAACTTGGCAGTGATATCACGATGGGACACGTTACCTATTTTTTATTCTGGAAAATTAAAAAAGGAATTAACACATGGACTAGTGGATTTTCTTTAAACCTAAAAATGTCAGAACATTTACTAACATTTTCCTTAAAGTTAAAGTGACACAGCTGAGGTACACAGGATAATCAGATGGTACCCAATAACAAAAATACATTACTGGGTACAACCCCGGTCTCATCTGCCAGTCGTCAGCTCTCTCAACTCATTCTCTCAGGCACATCAGACTCTCCAGGTGTAAGGCACGTCTCTCGCATCATTTCACACGCACATTCGCGCTAGCGCTCTCTCTTTCGCTCTCTCTCTCATAGTCTTGCGCCCTGTCTCACTCTCTCGTTCACCGAAGAGGTGTTTTTGAGTTGTGCTCTCTGGGATCTTTGGATGCAGCGATGACTGGTCATCTTCAGGTGATTGGTCCAGCCAAGAGGTGCATGCTTAACCCCCAGCGCAGAGTCGCCTCAGCCGGGGGTCGAGCCAGCCAGAGCGTCCTGCATCTTGGTGCGGGCCAGAGCGTACCGCTGCACTATCTGCTTGACGTGTTCTTCCTCTTCACGCTGCAGAATACGCAGGAAGTTCTTTAACTCGGGCATGGAGAAGGCATGCCACTGTAAGGAGAGGAAAAACAGCATTAATGTATGTACAAGTACATAAACACACCATGTTTGTGGGATCTAACACGTGGTTTGGGATCCCTTATTCTCATGTTCATCTTGCACTCACGTTGACTTCTCCAGTTTCATTCTCTTTAAGAACAAAACTGAGGACTTTCTCATTGGGCCCAGAACGCAGACGAAGACGGAGGGGACGCTCATCGTCAGACAGCTTGCGGATATAAACTGAAGGAGGCGGACAAAAAGAGTTATATTAGTGTACTGCATACACATTTCCATTTTAAAAAAAGTGACTAACACTGTTGGAAAATGAGTAATACCTTGGTCATGCCGCTCGCTGCGCTCAAACAGAGCAAACTTGCCAGGATTGTCCACCACGGTGAACTTTTTCAACAAGGCCTCGATGACCTCACGAGCAGAAGTGCGTGAACTTATGTGCAGGTGCTTGGATGCGTCTTTCGGCAGGTAGAAGGAGGTGCGGCGCTTCACTCCGCTAGCCTTCCTTCCTCCCGCATCGTGACTGCCTTTCTTTGGAGGTGGAACTGACACAGGCCGCGCCAGCTTGAACTGCACCTTTATGAAGCCAGTGTAGGAACCATCCTTGTTCTGTTGAGAAAATAAAAATGTTACAGTGACGAAAATAAAACACCTTTACATTCAACTTAATGGATTTGCTTTGAATCATCACTACTCACCATGTTCATGAACAGATTGCTGTTTATTTGAGTGTTGTATTCCTTCACCTTCTGCTGAATCTCTGCAGTTGTGAACTCCTGCTTTCCACTTTCAATCTGTTCATCCTGGAGGAGACAGTGAGGAGTTACAGGGTTAAACCACCAGGTGTCAGTGTTCACCTCCAAACCCCCAGCACAACACACACTACACAGGCCATAGGCTGTGACATTAGTTCCTTCAAAATGTCACTTTGTGAAATAATAACAGTAAGCTATGGATAACTTACATTTTTTTTTGTACCAATCACAAAAACATGACATCAGTGTTGACCCTCTTGAGCAAGTGCAGGGGCCAGACTTTTATACGGTAAAAAAACCAACATGCCGCTGTTGTATGAAAACACTATGTCTCAAAATAAGTTTCTCATATATGTAGAATGGGTGTTTTTATTGCATTCATAAAATGTTAAGACTAAGTTGGAAGAAACTGTAGAGCTATCATGTTAGTGGTGTGATCAAAATTGGACTTAAACCAGTTCTTCTTCCAACAATAGTGCTTCACGTTGTTTAGAAGAGCCATACAAACAACGCTCACTCAATAACAGCGTTAACTAACTTTCCGTTAGGCTCCCTTTCTTTCTAACGGTGAGCACCGGTTGCATCAGACGCTCAACTTCCTGACAACGTAGCAAAGGCGAAAACAATGATGTCAGCTCTGCCCAATCCTGTTGGACCGCTCTGATCCCTCGGTGTGGGAGGGGTAAAGTAAGGGAGGATGAGGAAGAGGGGGGGGAGGGATGTGCAATGTGCAGCTGTTTGCAATGACTGCGACCAACAGTTCTGCATTGCATTCCTCAACTTGGTATTCATGTAAAAATAGCCTCCCCCTCTCAGGCTCTCACAAGTGGGAGAGACAATGCCCGCCCTTGTTTTACAGGCACATCCTGTGAAGTCAGCTGCCTCATCAACCGCACTCTCCCAGTCATGTTTCTATCATGTTTCAGTCATGCACATTTGGCCTCAAGGGTCTGCGTGACCGTTAGCTCAATTAGGGCTTTTCCTGTGTCTAATGACCAGTTGGTATTTCCTGTATAAAAAAAGAAAATTCAACTGAACTCTGAGCCAGCACAAATTTAGTTTCCATACTGTACTCCAGCTAATTCCTCGAGGCACGGAGCAAGGGGGTTTCCTCGGGAGTGCAAACCAAATATCAATATCCTCACTGTCCTGTGGATGCTGCTCACATCTGTATTGGTATTTGTTGTGCAAATGTATGAAATGTATCTAACTCTATTCTGCCCCCATCTACTGTCATGATCCCAGATTGTCTAATGAAAAACCAACCAGGCGAGGTTGCAAGCATTAAAAGGGCTCGGTAGCTTATAAATCAACGTCAGGCCGACAATCAATAGCAGCAATCCTTAGGCAGATTGAAAGACTGTGGAGTTAATATGGTGTCGTTAACAAGTCAATAAATCAATATGAGAGCCAAATAAACAATGCAATAGAGTATCTATCTATCTAAATTGAGCTTTCTATTATGGTAACAGTAGGAGGATAAACATATGCAGCTACTGTGTCTCTACATGCCCACAAAAGGAGTGTCATATTAAAAAAAAAACAGTGTGGGGAAGTGCCAACAACACAAAACAAAAATGGCCCCTGCACTGAGACAGAAAATGGTGACTGTCAGCGAGTTACAGTGAACTTAAAGTGTTTCTCAATACAGAAAGCTGATATGTGAGTGGGCGTGCGGGTGACAAAAGGGAACAGAAAATGAACAAATCCAAAACAATACATGACTCAACTGTGATTGAGAAATTAGTGTGAGAAACCTGGAGGGAGAGTCAATGAACAGTGGGTGTGAGGCTGGAAACCTGATAGGCCAGTGTGCGTCACAAAACATGACATTTGGGTTGTTTCTCAGCAGGAGCTCAGCTGTGGGTCTGTGCTTGTTAAAATAAAAAATATGCACTATAAACTGTTTTATAAGCCAAAATCAGTATTGGCTTTTCCCTAGTGCTGCTATGCATTTTATAGTTAAGTTCACACGACTTAAAGTCTGTTTACTCAAACAGGAAGAACCAGAACTCCACCCTTAGCTTGCAAGCTCACTTGGCAAGCATCCTCTCTGCTGGGGGGGGGGTCACACACAGGCCAATGTGTGACCCCCCTAAAATAGGGTTAAAGTACTTAATTATAACAAAAAAAAGGCTGTCAGGATATAATAATATCAAACAACGCGAGAGTAGCTATGATGAACCACCCATCTCTCAATGCTCTCTGACTTCCCCTTTTTATTATACATTGAGGATATGACTTTTAATTCAGGCCCTAACTTCTTTTATTTTCTATTTTTGTTGACGTCTACCTCTCTCACCTTCTTCACGTTAGCACTGACGGTATCTTTCCGGGTTTTGGGGAAGAAAGATGTCCGGGCGGTGAAGTACTGCTCGAACTCGGAGTCGGGGTCCTCCTCGCTGCAGTAGCCGCTGCTGGTGGAGCTGCCCCAGGTCATCTCGAAGGAGGGAGTTTTGTCCGAGCTGCTAGCCTCGTTTGTCATACTGACTACCGTTTTTTAAAAAAAGACTATTAAAACTTAAACTACGACTTAAAAAGTGTTAAATAAATCACTTATTAAACCTTTTAGCTAAACTGGAGCTTTGCTGACTTCAAAATAACGGCGATTAACGGCCACGCTCGCGGACTTCCAACGGTTGACTAACTGAATACTGAATATCTCTGAAGCGTTGATAACGAAAGACTAAAATCTAAATCTTACCGACTTGTTTTTGCCTCTAACTTAATCTACCGGCCACGTTTCCACTGGTACCAACTCGGTCTGTGTGAAACAGGATGTATTCAGCAGCCCCCGCCCTCGCTGTCTCGCTTCCTTCCCCCCGCAGACGCCCCACCCAGGTCCGTTGAGAGGAGTTTGGAAAATACACAAAACCACCGCGGCCGGTTACGATTGGACGCTGAGGGGAAATACCAGTTCCTTCACCCCGCCCGCCCCCCTCACCCCGCCGGCCTCCCTCCCCCTCTACTCCCGCTCCCATGGATGCTGCTGCCTCCCCGCTGAACAAGTACCGGACCATGTGATGGTGGGACAGCCATATATAGACCACATGTGAGTTTCATTTGCCCTCAACTCATGATGAATATAAAACAAATATAAATTATAAAACTTTAACATTTAACATGTTCCTTATCTAGTTTTTCTTTGAGAGTGGTGAAAACTATGCCTCTATCCAAGGGCGTAAACATGTGGGGGGAGGTCCAAATGAGAGCCCCAATGCCTCCAACACACATCTTTTATGTGCATTTCACACTTTTATATGATATTTGTGGAAAATTCCCACCTTTAAATTGTAGTTTTGAGGACTGTATTGACATTTGAATTCACATTTAAAGCGAGTTAAGTGGCTGCCCCTCCATTTTGTTTAGGTTGTTTACTGTTTACTGACTTTAAATGCTCCTATCAATGAGAATTATACATTTTCCAGTAGTAGTGAATAGGATAGCTTCCAATGGAGAAACATTACATAGTTTAGAAATAAAGTTGCTAAGAGAGTTAGTACTGAGGGTACTGGGTGCAACCAGAGGGGGGAGTCACACACTTAATGTTTTCAAGAGACAGTGCTCAAATAAAGGAGGAGATATTTAACACATTATATTGTATATTGGGGGGACAAATTGGTACTTTTTCAGTATTGGGGGGACATAAAGAACATATGGTTACACCCTAGTCCCTATCAGGGAAAGGAAGGTGAAACCCTGAGGCCCCCTAATGACACCATGTGGACAATACAACTAATATGCAGACATTAATCAATCATCTGACCACCATGAATAAGTTTCCAACTAATTTAAATTAGTTTCAGTCCAGATCTAAACTACCTGGACTGAAACTCTGATTTTTCTGAAAGCTCAGATTTATCCAACTTGGAACTTACTGATACGGAAGTACCTGTAAATAAACGCTCCACGTCAACCAGAGATCATTGTTCGGTGTAATTAATCCCTATTTGAATGGCTATGGTGTTATATTATCCATGCAGTCATATGATACTGTAACATTTAAGCTGTTCTGTTGCCTTTGTGTCCTCACACAATGAACCTCCCTGTTACAAGTAAACTTAATTTAATGTGCAAAATCAGTGGCGTGTCTCTTTAGTTGATCACTATTTTAATAATTAATTGTTTGAGTCACTTTCCAAGCGATATACTAAACATTCCCTGTCACCTGCTTCTTAAACATGAGCATTATCTGCCAACGACTGTTCTTTTTAATATTATAAATTAAATATTTTTGAGACTGGACAGGTTGTCGAACAAAACAAGCAGTATGAATGTCAAGCTGGTAAATCCTGAGGGTAATTTCTCACTGATTTCCTGGACATAACGCTTAAATAACCCTACTGAGAAAGTACAGATGAAATGATAATGGAAATAATAGGGATGCACAGGGGAAGTACCTGCCAACATAACCAAACCACTACAAATACAGTTTCTTTTTCTGTTCTACAATCACTTACAATCATAGCAGACATCATGACGTGACGTTGACTGCCAACTTGTGCCACAGCAACCCTAAGCTTCATATTAAATAAACATTAATCCAAAGTGTTTCACTCAGTGAGATATACAGAAAGGGAGAGCTCTGGTATTTGATTGGTACTCTGTAGAAAATAATTGTTAGTTTTATCCCTAATTTTCTGTATTCATATACTGAAATGTAAACACTTTTTTAAACCATCAGGGGGAACTGATACTTTAATGTGACTAAAGATGATTCCAGGTTTATAGCTTGAGTAGAGAGACTCTGGCTACTGATAACTATAATCAGGTTTGTTGATAAAACTGTCTTTACTTTCTGCTAGAAAAGGAACATTTAAAGAGATGAGATGTAATGATTTTTTAAGAGAGATAAACAAAGTATTACACTGAGGAGAAAACTAAATGAAGTGCACGTGTTCAACTGGTGAATACATAAATATCCTCCATGTTCTTCTCACATGCTGAGTTCTGAGCATCTCTTTTGTTTATGGCGTTGGCTATCAGCACACAGTATTGGCTGTTGGCAGGAAATACTTTGGAGCCTCCTACTGTGAACTGAGGAGTTCACACATGTGGGGCTGCTACACCCAGAAACCCTCCAGCTGTTCTCACACCGACCAGGAGTGGACCAGAACTAAAACATTTCAAACCTTACAGATGTGAAAGTGTTGAACATAATGATCTGATATCTGGCACGGTTTGTACTGTTTTATATGTTCTTTCCTTTTTTGGTCATATGTTGTGTTCACTGCAGATATTTTAACACGTTATTAATAACATTAAATATGGTTGAATTTAATTCAATGTCAAGCCAACATGTCTGTTCTCGTGTGAAAAGGCCTCTGCACACTAAAGCCGAGGCACCACCACCACCAACAAATGTAACATGTCGTCATCTGTTCATACTCCGCTGAAGTTTTAACATTCCAGTCGTCCTGTGATAAGCAGCAGGTGTTTGATAGAGAGGGAATAAAGACCTGTTACCAAGAGACCAAAACCCTGCTGCCTTGAACAACTACTGGCCCGTAGCCTTGACGCCCCTTTTTATAAATAACACTAAAGTGCTGCAGGCAAGCATCAGGAGGAGAGTTTAGACGTACAGCAGCCAGGACTTTATCAGTACGTTAGTGTTTTAACCAACTCAAATGAACATATACATATTGCTGAGTTTGTTTTCTTGTATGTATAATAATTGTATACGTGTGTTACAACAAGGATTCTGCTGGAGGGATTAAATAAACTGAACCAAAATCTTACAAAAGGTAATAGCTGTAACATTTAATGTTTCTCAACTACTTCCTCTTCAAAGTCATTTACTTCCCTTTTACAAATCTGCCCCCTACCTGGTGCTGCCCTGTATGACTACAACAGGGTCAACCTTTACTCATGACCCTGTGTAGTTCGTGGAACTGGGTGGAAGGTATGTATTTATTGCTCAGTAAAATGTTTCCCGTTTTGGGCAATAAAATAAAAGACTTTGTTCCGTACAGCAGTGTGAAGACACAGTGTAACTCATCCAGGTTGCTCACAATGTCACATACAAAGTAGAGGCTTTTTTTTTTTTCATAAGCCACCAGTTTTCTCACCACGGCACAAAAATGGTAATAATTTCTTCATGTTGCCATAAAAAGCAAGTAAACAGTGACTTCTACCACCTTTTGGTTGTGAGAAAGGCTGCATATTGTGAACAATCAAAGAGCACTAACCCACTCACACAGAGGTCCTTACCACATTTGTGTCTGTTTCTATGGTGTGCTCCACAACACACGTGTGGTCGGCCACATAGCCCCGGTCCCAGCTGCAGTCCAGCCGGATCAGGGCCCGACAGCGGTAGTGGCATGTGAATCTACAATCTGTAAGAGCAGGAAGTCACTCAGTTTAGATTAACATCGGCAGGAAACGTATACATATATGTGACAAACTCACAAATGTGATTTTATTGAGTGCACTTTTAAAGGGGTGATGTCCTCCTCTGGCCATTAACAGTCACTGCAGTTCCTCTAACCTCTGCATTTACCATCATTTGCCTTTAATGACACACAATATAGATAAATACATAAATGAATGAAATAAATCTTAAAATACACAAGTAGCTATGCTCCAGCTGTTGAGTTCCAAACCAGTCACATGAACTTAAGTTTGTATGTATTTGTTCATGATCTTTCATCAGAGTCTTTATATTTATTAGTGTCTGTTTCTGTGACAGTTTCCTTAGGATTTGATTGCGGTCTGATATTCAGATTACTGTCAATAAGCTTTTTTTCTGCATACTAAATGCTCTACACAAACCGCAGCTACATTTCAGTGGGTTTCAGTTGATGAAAAGGAAGTTCAAGACTATTGCACCTCCAAGGTAGTCTTGAGCAAAAACAGCACACAGCAGATATAGATAGATAGATAGATAGATAGATAGATAGATAGATAAATAGATATGAAGGTCGACCATGAGCCCAGAACCAAAACCACAAAAACCACTTAAACAACTACATGCATGTTAGATAATGTTCCTTCTGCAGGAACATGGAGAGTTATTTATTTCAAGGCACATCAAAGCAGTTAAAGCTATGATTTCACAGGGTTGGGCCTACAAGGCCAGCAGGTGTTTGATAGAGAGGGAATAAAAACCTGTTACCAAGAGACCAAAACCCTGCTGCCTTGAACAACTACTGGCCCGTAGCCTTGACGCCCCTCTTTATAAATAACACTAAAGTGCTGCAGTCAAACATCAGGAGGAGAGTTTAGACGTACAGCAGCCAGGACTTTATAACTTCACCTATAACTTCATCCTTCTCTGTTTAACCAAATTTCCTCTTACTCTCAGTTTTGCCCTCATTTCTGATCATGCATATGCACAGAGGCAATCACACATGCACACGCCCAGGCACCACAAAACAGCCTACGTAAGCCAACTCACTGACACACCGCAGGCTCTGCTTGTACAGTCCCCAGATGAAGTCTCCACACAGATCACACCACGTGGGCTGAGCGTGGCTGCAGGGCTGGAAGTTGTGTCCCTCTCCCTTCTCCTCGGTGAGCTGGGGGTCCTGGCTGCTGCTCAGGACTCTGATGATGCCCACCCGGCTCAGGAGGTCCGGGACCTTCCCAGGGCTGATCCTCAGGGCGTTTGTTCTCTCCAGGCGTGGAGGCGAGCAGGGCGAACGTGTGCCGGTCAAGTCTATCTGCTCTCTGCCTGGCCTCAGGTCACGGAGCTCGATGAGCTCCTCCCAAGACATTGTGTCACTCAGAGCCGGGCTTCCTCCATTATCACTGACAGATGGAAAAACACACAATAACACACCGGTACCTGCCACAAACTGTTGGGTTCCTGTTTCAATGTTTACAAAAAAACATGTGATCTTGAAATTATAAGGTTTAATCTCATTTAACTTTGAAACCTACAGTGTTCTGATTCTTTATTATACAAAAAAATGGAGATAACTATATACACAATAGTTCAAAGTATCCTTTAAGTAAATGGAGCAATACCACAATACCAAAAATCAAAACTAAACCAAAAATTATACTGTAGTAAAATTATCAGTTAAATCTACTCGAAGCATCAAAGCTGAAAGTACCCATTATGGCCCCTTTACATATTGTTTGATTATATTTACTGATTTTTTAACTGACTTTTTTTCTGTAGATCCAAAAACAGTAGAATATTTCATTTTGAATTGTAGTGGAGTATAAGTAAAGTGGCATTAAATGGAATTACTACAGTAAAGTACAGTGCGGTGCTTAGCAACATTGATTAAGCCATATATCATCATTGTTATTATTATATTGTTTGTTTACCATTATCATATAGTTTACAGTAGATCTCAGACATTTAATTTACATACAATATTTCTGGTAGTTTAGTGACAATGTTTTGCATGTGACACGTTGGTTTGTCATAACATACTCAAGTATTATGTAATATTTAATAGTCTGCAAAACTTTTAAAAATAATAATTAAAACAGGATGATGAAGCCACGAGAGCCTAACATGACTCTTTCTTCCACGATCAGCTATAATCTTCTCTGTAAATAAAACAATTAAAAGATGCATTTACGAGTCCTCGGAGGATGAATACTCAAATGTTTAAGTTACAAAACAACAATCTTGATTAATAAAGACAATCAAACTTCCTAAGAATACAAAGTAAAAATCTAAATCTTCAATCCAACTCACTTAAACAGGGGAGAAAACAGCCCCGTGGCAACCGCTTTGTCTCAAAACTTCTTCCATCCGAAGAGAAAAACTTTCCGCAGAAATGTTTCTGTTTCCAAGTAACGGAGGTGTGCAGCCTCGGCTTCATCTCTGGAAATAATCGATCATCACCGGTTACTTCCAGCTACAGACGGAGGCCCTTTACTTTTGTCGGGTAAATTCAGAGCAAACAGCGGTGTCTGCTCAAAGACGATAACCCATCTTTTTGATGATTTTTCAGACTGTGTTTGTAGGAGGAAGCAGCAGCATATCGAGAGAGAGAGAGAGAGAGAGAGAGAGAGAGAGAGATGAGACTGAGCTGTACCGACATCCGGAATGTTTTCACATAGTCCGAGTCCGCGCACAGCTCAGTGGGCGTAAAAAGTCCCCCACCCCTGCAAGCAAAGGTCTCAAAGTGTGATGGATCTCGTTTTCATTTAGCACAGAAGTGGAAAGCCTCAAATAGGATACATACTGTAAATAACCAGCTAAAACTTCAAAATGTCAATATTTATCATGCATTATCCTACAGCCAATCCTGTTGTTTACACACATGTCAGATCCTCTGCACAAAGTCAACAATACAACATGCTGGGAGGCTTAATCTGAACCGGACTAGCAGGAATATTTAGTCCCAAAAAGAAGGGACTAAAGGTCCCCAGATACGTTAACTAGGTGAGTAAGTGAGTCTATCAGGTTTCACACTAAAATGCTTTTGTTCTTTATAAAACTGGGAAAGAAGACAAGAAGGAGGGAGTTGTGAAAACATTTTTTAATTTGTCAAAATACCAAAATGTATAAAATCAAAGAGAAGCAAATGAGAATGAACTGGATAAAGCTAACACCCCAAAGCTCTTCCATTAAAGACAACAGTATGGTTAAAAAAGTTACCATCATAGCAAATATTACAGTCAGGAACAACACAATTCTGTAATGGGGAATTAACTTTTTCAGCACTAAAAAATAAAGAAGATTCCCTATAAATCCAAATCTGTATCGTCCCATCTGCCAGCAGTCCGAACACGTGCTTCAACAGTCTCTCTCTTTTAGTTGTTCAGCTCCCTCTGGATCTTCTCTGTGGCCTCGGTCATAAGCTGGCAGGCTTTCTTGTGTTTAGGCCAGTGCTTCACCTGACATTCTCTGACAAAACAAACAAAACAAATAAGATGAATGAGACTTTACATCAGCAGAAAAATGTCACAGATTTAGTGTAGAAAATTATGTCTGAAGTACAATAGCTCAGAGGTTCTTCTCCCTAACCATGTTGTCCAGCTCCTGGGTCATCCTGAGGTGTACCTATTTTCAGCAGCTATAAACTTTCAGCCATTACCTAGAGCTCATGACGATACAGGTGAGCGTTGGAAAGTACATTACCTGGCAAATCTTAAGCTTTGGCCCTCAGGCTCAGCTCTCTCTTCACCACCCCAGGCCGGTACAGTGTGAGGTTGTCAAAAGTATTTATACTTTGATGTTTATAACTATACAAATTCTATCATTCAGAAGTATCCAGAATACCAAAGCTATAAAACAAAACGTGATCTACAATCAGAGTTTCAACCCAAGGCTACACTGTGGGGAGGAAGATCAACTTTATACTAATATTGTATTAAAGTTTAACAGTCTGGTATTGTGACAGACTTAGTGCAGCGTCTGCATTACTGCTGGACTTCTATCTATACAAGTTTTACCTGTGACAGTACCATTCTCCCTGACAGCGAGAGCATCTCTTTGCAGCCTCTGTCCCACAGGATCCACACTTTGGTTTCTCAGGGAGTAAACTCTCCATCACATCTAAGTTGTACGTCTGAGCCAACCTGGTAAAACAACAAACAATATTTATCTCATTAATAACACAACAGCACAGATGGATTGAGTCCTCTGCAGTAACTCTGAAGGTATTACCTCTGTGCCTGCAGCCTCAGGTCACTCTCAGATGGGTTGAACGTCTCTTTGACTTGATACTTCGCTATCGCCTTCCACTTCCCAGAATTCTCCCTCACAATGTGGTTCCACATTTCTGGGATCTATACATGAATGAAAGATACAGGTAAATGCACAGGGGCACAGTTAGGTATAGAGATAATGTGTGTGTGCATGTATGTGTGTGTACCTGTTCCAAAACAAGCTCTTTTTTTGGAGGGGCAGGGTCTGTAACAGCCAGGTGAGCCAGGTAACGCTGCAGTTCCACCAGGTTCGGCAGCTGATCAATCAACACTTCTGTCAAGAAACCCCGGAGCTGCAGCACATGAAGGGTCAGCCCACCAATAACAATACAGCAGCGAGAACAACATTGTAATCAGAATGTCCTACAGCGTGTTAAGGGCAAAATGTTATTACAGGAGGATGCATAAGGCCCTCTGCTTATATAATTAATGCAACAGGAAGAGGATGAGAAAACATATAATAGGAGGAAACTTCTTAGTCAAAACAACCCTTTGGAAACTGAATCTGGATTTTCACAAGTTGTAGGACAATGATCTGGCACTCGCACACTTCCTGAGCTTCAGTTTACAGATAATAAACAGTAGCCACTTGGACAGAGGAGGATATTAAAATCCGGTTACACGTTTATTAATTAGAGTAACTTCAAGCACAGCACAAGACCCTGAACATAAAGGAATGAGAGTCGGTTTTATACCTTTAGAAGCTGGTTCTTGTTGAAGTTGTTGAAGTCATATTTCCGTTGGCAATCTTCCTTCAGCAACAGATTGTAAAGAGAAATCCAGACCTGACCATCTAGTTTTGTCATCTTCAAACGGTCCTCAACGGGAATCTTCTGCCATCTGCCATTTGTGTACTTTTCTACCTCACCTTCAAAGGGAGGCAACTGAATTAATGCTCATTTGATAGGCAAAAGCAAACATCTACGGACATATTTGATTTGCAAGAGGCGTGAAATACCTTTACTACAGCGACTCCAGGGGCAGCAGTCAATCAGCTGAACCAGCACACAGGGCATGTTATGGGTGCACAGCATGCGATTGATAACACTGATGCTGTAAAGAAAAACATACGCTTTCCTTCAGTCAGCTGTAGAGGTGAAACCACGGTAACAGTAAGTAAATAAACACTCAATTAAGAGAAAACTAATCTGCATCAATTTTGATAGTTGATTAATCATTTAAGTCCATTTCCAGTCCTCGATTCCAGCTGGTCAGATGTGAGAAATTGCTGCTATTTTCTGTTTTATATTATTGTAAATTAAATAACTGTTGGTCAGACAAAACAACAGTCTCAACAAAATGATTAATAAACATATTGTAAAAAAACAACTGATGGATAAATCAGTAATGAAACTTAGTTGGATCATCAGTTTGTTACACTCTTACATAAAAAATAAAATAAAACAAAGGTTTAGCTTTAATTGTAAATGTCTCTCTCGCTCTCTCTTCTCTCTCTCCTGTAAGCTTAAAACCAACCCTCACTGACGGTCCAGACTCTGTATTACCTCTCAGTGTGATCCGTGATGTAGCGCAGCACAGAGACAGCCTTCAGGGAGATTTCAAACTCCAGTGCAGCGCTCTGTGTCTGCAACTCCTTCAAAGAAGTTAAAAGAATGATGTGACTGATCACTTTAAGACTCCTGCAATAGCCGGAACAATGAGACCAACAAAAGCACCATAAATGTCAGACTCTCGTACCTCTGTAGAGGATACAACTGCTTTCCCTGTCAAGTTGTGTTCGTCATGAGTCGTTACGCCCTCCCTGGTCGCCTTGCTGGCCATCAGGGTGAGTTTGCGGTGGCAGTAATCCACCAAGTCTAGAACGGAGTCATCAGCTGCCTCACATGAATCCTACACAATACACAAAACTCTTTCAACACATCACATAAAGGTTATTTCACAAGTGTTGAGAGAGAGAAAGAGCCAAGTGTCTGAACCGCCCCGCCGCGTAATCACATTCATGATTTAAAGCACTTAAAATAAGCAGCTGATGCACACACTGACCTTATGAAACATGATCGTTTCAAGTAGGTTTATGATCGTGGCTTCGTGGTGGATCTGAGGAGACATCGAAGAACATGTGATATCAGTTATGAGCGCTGCAAGCTGATCATCATCTTCCATCTCGCTTTACACTCACCACCATGTAAAGATGAAATGTGTTCTTGGGATTAAAGTCCTGCAGCTGACATAAGACGGGGAACACTTTTTGTTTCCACACTTCGACAAGGATCAGTTCATGGACCAGAACGGGTATCTGGAGAGGGAGGAGGGAAGATACTGTAGGTGAAAGCCTTTCATGTGTTCATCATCTATCATCATATCTAACTGTAGGCAATAGAAACAACAGAACTCTTCTTCAGGGTTTCTCTAATTGCCACCGACATTCACCTTTCCATATGACACCAGGAGCTCCTTGACGAACTCATCATGAGCTGCAGACGCATTCAGTATCGCCTGCATGTTGAGTTTCTCAATGTACTCATGCTGTCTGAACCACCTGTCAACACACAAAGAGAAACAATTAAGAAAGAGCACAGAGTTAGGCTTCATGAACTTTCCAGACCTCTCAGATAGTTTGTGACAGGTCTGCTTACTGCCCCTAGAGTCAAAACTAACATGGAGGAGCTTTATTCAGTTTCTATGCACCACATCTGAAATAAAAACCTCCAACTCTCAGTCCTTTTAAGGTTGAGGCTAAGCACTTTTCTGTTTGCCACTGTATGTAATTAAAAAAGTTAGGACTATTCATAACTTTTATGTCTTATGCAAAGAACTTAAATTATTGCATTTGTTCTAATTTGACATAGACTGGGCAAGGGTTACATCGCTACAGTGTTACATCATTAGGGGAGGTAAGTGCCTTGAATTAAGCAAGGTAGCAATCATCCTATGACACTGAGGTGACATCTACAATCCTCTATGCAGTAGTCTGTTAGGGAACCTGTACAGTATATTCAAAGACCTATATGTGTAGCCTATATTCCATTTAAATTACACTGCTGTATATATTTTCTATCCTGTGCAATTATATGTATTTCTACACTACCTCCTGCTGTGACCTGAGCAATAGTCCCTATCAATAAAATAATATCTGTAAATAAAAAGCTGTATATAGTTCACATATTGATAACTATTTCTATTATATACTGTATTTTTTTAAATTATATTCTTATTTAATGTGTATTTTTCTAATCTGTTGTGTTGTACTGTTGTTCTACTGTAGCAAGTGAATTTCAATTAAGTCTATATTAATAAAGCAGTGGTGGAAAGTAACTAAGTACATTTACTCAAGTACTGAACTTTTTTGAGGTACTTTACTTTATTATTATATATATTATTATATTATACTTTTTATTCCACTACATTTCACCTGCTCCACCTTTACCAGCTGCAACATTACACAATACACATTATTCTGAAATGGGCCATTCTGCACAGTGACTACTTTTACTTTTGGTAATTTAAAGTATATTTTGATAATAATACATTTGTGCTTTTACAAAGTAATTGTTATTTTTAGTAACAGAGTATTTCTAGTAGAAGCTCTGAGTACTTCTTCCACCACAGTAAGTCATTTTCCATTAGAGTATCTCTAACTACTGAGGAAGAGGATTTAAATACTTTTTCGATGTCCCAAGATTTATATACATTTATATATTTATACAATAAGTACTGAATGAAGTAATAAACGGGGTTCAGGGTACTGTCGGTGGTTTGTGGAGGTCTCCAACCTAACAAACACTTGCTAACATTATTTTGTTGTCCCTCTCACCTCGCGGAGCCCACTTCCTTGAGAGGGAAAGTTTCCAGACTTTGAACAAACCCCTCAGCTTCGACAGGCAGGATTACCGACGGGTCCATGGTTCTTATAGGAAGCCACTCAACAAGCTATCAAGTTAAAAAGAGACTCCCTGTCTTCAGTCGGCCTGTTTCTGGAGTTCATTTAGTGTTAGCGATACACAGTGGTTGTCATGGTTACTGTGAACCAAGCGCACACAGAGGGCAGTACCTCCCGTCCGCCGGAGAGGGGCGGTGCATCTTCAGGTAAAAAGTGTGAAACAGTCTAAAATCATCATGTGATGGAGGGTGTGAGGTTCATAAGCAGCAGTGCCACACTCTAAGAATAATACATTATAAGTTACTAGAAAGAGTTTATTGACGCATTAGTGCCTAAGTAGCATTTTTACAGTTAATACACTACTTAATCTACCTGATTATTAAATCACTAGACCAGTTATTATAGCTGTCAAATACGTGTTGGGTAAAAAAGTACATTTTCGTCTGATTTGAAGACATTACAAGTAAAATCAGTACTAAAATAAAACATTTATTTAAAAGTTTTTTCACAGCCCGGTGAGATCTAATGTTGTTAGTGCGTCAATCTTCCTTTTTTTTAATGGGTGTAAAATGTGTTTTGTTTTGTTTTTTTGGCATAATTTTATACAATTTAAGACAAACTGTCACACTGTGGTTTAATCTCCTTTATTAATCACAGATTTCTTTTTGTACAATATTAATAAATACCACCTTCCACACTCGACCTAAACAAAAGTATATACCAATTCCTGATGAAGAGTTAGTTACACTAACATGAAAATTACAAAATACTACTTCACTTTTGTTATTCGTCTCACTGAAGGCATCTTTGGTTGAGGCGTCTCTGTATCTCTCGGTCTGGCAGTTAATGTCACATCACTTCCAGCACACCACGATGTTGGGATCATTTTCCAAACGTTCGTCGAGCTCCTGGTAACTGATTCCTGTAAAAGTTTACGACATTGTAAACATACTTGTTTTCTACCATTAGTTATCAGTTCGAACTAAACTAACAGAGGGAGCTCTAAAAAAAAACCTGCCTGTTTTGCAGCAGATCTCATCGTAACTATGACAACCGGTGTAGAGTCGAGGCGGCCTGCTCCTCTCGTCGCGGATCACCTTCACCGGGTATTTCTGCAGCCGTCGAATGAGAGACCTCATCAGTCCGAACTGGATCAGCCTCCTGAAGGGGAACACATGGAGCAGATGTTAATAACTGTGACTCCAGCCTGACTGTAAAAGAGCCGTACGGTATTAAGTGACTGATGCCGACCTCTCATCAACCCTTTGAAGCTGCTGCGAGTAGCGAGAACAAAGGTCTCGGACGGTGGTTCCCGGGCTCAAACCACAGTAGAGCTGGAACACGTCTCTCAGACTGGCACGCTTCTGACCTGACAGACAACACAACAATGCAATCACAAAATAAACAGAAACAAATAACGCTTGTGTTCAATAATCAGGACCCTTATTTACCCTGCTTGGTGACGTAGCTGAGGCACTCTTCCTGTATGGACTTATCATCCATGAGGCTCTGGACTTTGGGGGTTGTGCAATACACATTACTGTACTGGAGGAGGTAAAAGGCACAAGACAATCACCAAAGTAAACAGACCCTCAAATAGCTACAACAGAGAGAAAAGTGGTAATATTTTTGGATTAAAGAAGAAAATGTAAGAGAAAAAAGTCATAATATTAGAAGAAAAGGGGTGATAATGTTTCATAATTCTAATACTCTTTAATCTCTTTAGTTAACAGGTGATATCGGTCTCAGTTTTGAGGTGTCGAATGAACGATGTGGATGAGTTGAACTTAAAGGTTTCACCAATAACGACTTTTCTTCCGGAATATTTTGACTTTGCTCTCGAAATTACATATTCCATCAGAAATAGGACGACTACACCATAGATGCACAATGCACCTTTTTCACAGCAGCCATTTTGACATGAAATAGTAGGGTAAACACTGGTTTTCTCACTCTGTTTGACCTGAATGGAACATAACCTTCATTAGTTTAATTCACCTGTGTTTACACAACTATTTCTTGTCAAAATGGCTGCTGTGAAAAGGGCCTATTGCAGTGGAATAAGTCCAATCTGTTTTCGCTGTGTGAGGTTAGTTTTGTACCTGGAATATTGACACCAAAGTCACAACACCATAATACCTGTGAAGGAAAAGGAGGATTTTGAGGATCTCTTCTTTGGTTTCTTTGGGAAATTAAAAGTCTTACAACACTGAAGTGCAACACACACCAGCTGAGTCACGATGCATCCGATCATTTGAAAACAGCCAATGTGATAAAAACTGCTGCTTTCCTGAAGAGCAGCAGCAGCAGCAGCAGCAGCAGTGAGAAATAAGATAGTGGCTTATCCTGACCTTATCTGAAGACTGTGCCAGTTTGCAGGCTTACTGTAGATAAAAAATAATGGATGAGGGTGTTTGGACAAGCCACCGCTGGCGTGCGTTACCCTTTTATTAGGCGAAATGTACTCACAGCAGATTCTGCACAGCAATGCGAACAAGATTCAGCTCTACATCCGCTTCAGCAGAGATTTTTTGGATGTGTCTGAATCCGTCGATATAGGGCAAGATCTGCAGTAAACACAGTGTAACATTACTGGCTTGTACTAAAGCTCTATACACACTGCTGTGTATATATAATCTTCTACTGCTCATTATTATAGCAATAACACATTATTGTACAACACTATCTCCTACACTAAGGCCTCCCATGCGTCCATAAACTACAGCTGATAACCTGCCTTTAATCACTAATCTTTCTTCCAGTGGTTCTTAGAAATGGGGAACATGTTATATCACAGTGTCCCTTGATATCAGTCACATGGTTTTACCTGTTGGGTGGTGAGATCCCACTGAGATTTGATAAAGTGGTCTTTGCACTGGGTGAAGACTGGCACATCATATTCTTGGACAATCTGGGGGTCCTTTCTCAGCTGGATCAGCTTTAGGTGTATGGTGTTGGATGCATCTAATAAAAAAAACAGACCGAGAACAGAAAAAGAGACTTGATTTAAAGTTAAATAAGGTTTTCAAGGGGCCATATCGTGAACACAGTAAGTGCTGAATATTGAACTGCTATGAGATGACACTAGCAGGAGTGGCCCCAAGGTAATTTGAGTTGAAGACCCCGGATTAAGTAGAAGTGCTGGTTAATAATTATGTTTGCCCTTCTGAGGGATCAATGTGATTATTAGATTTTTAAAGCAAGGACTTTTCTTCCTTCTAATGAGTTTTAGAAAAGGGTCTAATTAGTTTGTTAGACACCACACTTTGAGCGTTTTAAACATGTTCAGGTATATCATTATCCAGGAAAAGATTACAGCATTTTGAATGTTCATTTTTCAATAAAATAAAGAATTTGAGTTTGAATGCTGTTTTTACCAAACTTAAGATGTAAACTATAATCAGCTCATCTCTAAACTCCAGAAAAGCCTCAATAGTGTTTGTAGAGGATCTCTCGTACCAATCCAAATGTGTAACCTCTATTTTTACAGGACACACTTTACATAACTGCTTGCACAGTGGTGTTACTGTGTTATGGGACCTCATTTGTTTATAATAACACTATCACTACTTTCAATTTTGTCAGTGCAGCTGGTACTGCTGCAACAACATCTTCAAAACTAGCAAAAAGAGCAGCTGAATAGGATCTATTAACCCTACTATTAAACACACTTTTACAGTCACTCGCTCTATCAGCTGTTTCCTGTTGTGCACACACTTATTTGCATTTCACCACCACCTTGAGGATGTATGTAAAAGACACAGATGGCTGTTTGCCACAGATAAAATTAGACAGTAATATATAAAATGAATACCTATGGGTAAGGTGCAGGCTCCTGTGGCATTAAGTTCTTCCAACAGCGTCGACATAATGGGTAAAAGTTTCTGCTTGCTCTCCTCATTGGAAATAAAGCCACTCTCCAGCTGCAACACAACAAGGCAAAAAGATAGTAAGATTATTACTGAAAACTGAGTGAGATGTGAAAAGTGTGAAAGTGTGAAAGTGTGAAAGTGTTCACTTACCTCCAGAGTTGTGAGGTACCCGGAGAGCTTCTTAACAATCGGCTCAAGGGCACACGTGTTGGTCTGAGCATCACAAACGAGGCCAAGGTTAAACAGGAGGGCGTTTCGGCTGTACTTTTTATGCTCGATGCACACGGGACACCCGATTAACTTTTTCCCCATGGCAGTGCTAAAACAAGATATGAAGAGCACAGATAACAGTTTGATACTGACGAAGAGCAACGTACCATTTGATTGTAAACATTATGGGAAAGAGACAGAAGAGGAGTGTTTACATACACTGTTATTAATTTGTTTTGCAGCTCCGGCTTGGTGATGATATAAACCTGAACTGTGTCAAAGAGCTCCCGGGAAATGTATTCCTCTGGGACCTGTCAGGAGAGGACATAGGGGACAATGTATGATAAGATACATCCTATAAGATACTCTAAGAAGATTATGTTCTTTTCACTTCCAAGGTCAATACCACCAGAATATGTAGAGGGATTAAAATACCTGTTTATCATTAATAGGATCAATTATTTACATTTTAATTACAATATAATCCTGAATACATAGTCACAAGGATGCAGAGACTGTCCCGGGGAAACCTCCGTCACATTTACTTTAAACTCTTAAATAATAACCCACAAATAATTTCAAATACTAAATATGATCCAACATCTTTTACATGCAGACCTCAACTTCATTTACAGGTTAAAGGTCAACCTTCACAGAAAATACTTTAAGAATGGGGACTGATGATTGCTGTAATATACTTTAGATTAACATAGATTAACATAATTCCCATAATCTCACACCCTACACGTGGAAGAAACCCTGTAATTATCTATCAAAATGTATGGTAGTATTTTTTAAAAGTCTTATATATATATATATATATATGACTTCAATTTCCATGTACTTCTTGTTTTTGATATCAAATTATATGATTCCTATAACTTTAGTATCATAATAGGACAATTAGGCCATGTTGGTAGTGACTACAGTAATTAATAAGACAACTGTGGTTATTTTATTACAACTACCTTAATTATAAATGTTGAACTATAATGCTAAAACCCAAAATTAAATATTATATCTGCACACTCACCTGATATGTTATCTTTGGACCCAGTGTGGGGTGAAACTCACTGAAAAATATACACTCTATCCGACTGCTCATGCCCATCACAGCCCTTAACGTCACCTCAAAGAAATTAACCTAATTAAAGCAAACTTTAATCAAAATGTTTCACTATCCTGTTTGTGGCTGTCATGTAGCCGCTGAAGCTAGCTGTTAGCTTCCCCTTTTAACGCCACAGAGAAGCCAGTGAGCTGTGAGAGAGTAAGTTTTAGAGGTCTAACGGAAGGACAACGTCCGAACAAATATGTTATCACTGTAGTTTGAACACAAATGCTGTCAACCGAACAGAAAACTATCCAACAACTCTCCAATAGTCGTGAGCGCAGCAGACACCGGCGAACAACAACACCGCTGATGAGTTCACGGGCTCCTCGTAACTTACTGTTGTCAGTAACGGACATCGTAAATACCAACCTACAAAGTATTTATTTAACAAATGAAAAATAATAATAACTCAATTTATGTTGTAAAGTGTTTATTTCTACATCTTTTGTGCATTTGCAGTTGCTTGGTTCTGTTGAAAAAGTGTCTCAGATAGTTTGAAGTTAGCTTACAGTTGTATACATCGATATTATTATCAGCTGTTCTCTGCATTCACATTATCTCGGCGGTTTCAACGTTAACAATAATTAAAAACGTCCCGGTGTTTAGCGCCAATCACAAATTCGCTGCTGTTTTTCAGGCGCTCCACGTTTAAAACTCTCACATATCCGACGGTACTTAAAGGCAACACCGTTCAGCAGCGTCAGTGCTGCGCTGCGTGCGCCGCATTTGGAAACGTTTTCTGCGCCATGTGCAGGAAATAGTATGAACAGTGACAACAGCGTGTCACCAGACTACAAAATGTAATACAAATGTAACGTAATACCAATGTAACGTGATATAAATGTAATACAGGTAAAGGAGAGCTGCAGGCTGACGTTACTGACTGCATGTAGTGATGTAGAGTCTGTTCACAATCATATAATCATGTGGAGAAGACCTCTCAGTGCAGCCTACAGACGCTCTGGACCAAAGGTAACGACCTGCTCAGTCTTCTTCTGTTGTTGTTTTCAGGGTACAGTAGATGGGATGCTCACTGAGATCAGGTCTAATGAAGAAGGACCTGAGCTGACGTCGGTACTTCAACCCACGTGTGTTGTTTCATCAGCTCATCAGACATCAATCAAGAGTCTTTTTGGAGTTGTTTGTACTTTATTTCAACATATATGAAATTTACTTTAAAGTAAAGCCACTAAACCCCCAGAATACTTGGAGTTTGACATTGATACAGCAACAGAACCGATAACAATAGTCGTTATGTTTGGTAGAAAAATAGTTATAAACATATGAACAACAATTAGAAAAGAAGCGACTCTACTGATGTTACTGCAGTCTGTAATCCTGTACATTAAAGGAGACTATTGACTGGCCATAATAGACCAGAGTTTATCAATGAGCCCTGCAGATATAACTTTGAATGCACTGAATTTAACCATTAACACATGATAACAATTCTATGTACATGTTGAACTTTGAATTCTATGTAATTGTCTCATTAGAGCATTTGACATTTTAAGAAATCCCCTTTGTCCATAGATATGTCTGCAACAACAACCACTTTCTAGGAATTGAAACACAGGCAGTCAATTGTTCCTAAACAACAGATAAAATTTAATGTCAGACACACCCAGCAGAAGCCTGAATCCACAACTGCGTCTGAGAGAGAAATAAATGTAACTGCAATGGTAAATCTAAACCTGATTTGAACATTAAAGTGACCACAGTGGGCCAACAACTGAAAGAGGAGCTACTTTATTTATGTATGGAAGATATTCATTAACCCCCTTTACTATTGAGGGAGTGAAGCCTCCATGTGTATATGTAAATACGACTGCAGACGTATTTAAGTTCATGGAACCAGTGAGTATTTGACTAAATTTCAAAAGAAGCAGGAAACATTTAAGAGGTTCTGAGCCACAAACAAACAAAAAAAAACATCTTTGTTTTCCTGTAATTGACAGAAATGTCCTTTCCAGTACAGATAGAAACACCTCTCAGTATTGTGTAGGTATATCTGATTATATCACACAGCTCAGTGTATAGATGACTTGATCCTCCGTTGTGCCGAGGAAGTGATTAAAATCTGGTGAACTGAAGATAAAATGTGTATCTTGAGTGTGCGTCAATCAGTGGTGTGTCTGTGGTTTTGATCTGAAATTGAGTTTTTCACTTAGTCAGCGATGGGGTTTCAAAGGGAAATCAGCCGTGCTTGTTAAACCGTAGTTGGAACGCACAGTAGTTGTAGATTTGTGGTAATTTAGTAACTGAATCATGTGGTTTCAGGGGATCTGGGGCCTCCATGCTGTACGTAGATGCAGCGCTCCAGCTTTACCTGCAGGAAGGATCACAGCACTCCAGGCAGTGGACTTATGGAAGAAGCACTTTCTGGAGCGAGGCGTGACGGAGCCCGACCACTCCAGCCACTACATCCTCGCTCATCTGCTTGGGGCTAAAACTGTGAGCTGTAAATTTGCGGAGCTTACTCTTAAATTGCCTGACATTAATATCTGAATACCTGCCACACATTTAATAGCATCCCCTTTCCTGTACTTACGTGCATTTTCTTTATCCAGATTGAAAGCCTCGAGCAGGAGAAGTTAACAGAGTTTCTCAGCCGAGAAAAGACGGAGCAGATGTGGAAGCTCTGCACTAAACGCCTGTCCAGGTATGAAGTCTCTACTTATACCATCTACATATAAATATGTTTTATTTTACTGACAATACTGAACTAAATATGTACATGTGTGTTTGGACTAGGATGCCAGTGCAGTACGTGATTGAGGAGTGGGACTTCAGAGATCTGACCCTGAAGATGAGACCTCCTGTGTTCATACCAAGACCTGAAACCGAGGTCAGACGAGGAGAAAAACAGGCCACACATACATACAGTGTACAGTGAGATCCTAATGATCATTCACACATAACCACAGCAGTGTTTTCTCTTGTGTGATGATGCAGGAGTTGGTGGAACTCGTGCTCTCTGATCTAGAGATGGACCCCGGGGCTGGAGTGGGTGCAGACGCCCAGCACACATGCTTTGAAGTGGGATGTGGCTCTGGTGCTATTTCTCTGAGTCTGCTGAAGAGTCTTCCTAAGGTGAGGCTTTTGTTTATTGTAGGTGGTAATAGATCTTTAGCCACTTTGATGGTGAGTTTTGGCGTTTATGGTCCCCAGAAGATAAAGCCTGCTGACATTGGTGGAGTTTTCCTCCAGTGATATAAGCAACATCTGACAGATGGATTGGCTCCGAAGTTTTGGAAAATAACTTCCTCTGATATTGCGTCTAGCGCCAAATACTTGCAAAACTAATGACATTCCCATCAGCCTCAGCTGTAACTTTTTAGTGTGTTTAGATACAATTAGCAGATGTTAGCATGCTAACTCGATAAACTAAGATGTCAAACATGGTAAATATGTCACCTGCTAATCACAACACAACTACATTACCCACAATACAACACCACCAATGACTCGGTCAGATTTAACTTGGCTGTGGACTCTTACTCTTGTTTTTATTTTTAAGTAAATATGTTGGTGCTGAAATGGTTGGTTCATTGATCAATAGGTTGTGATAATCAGGTAAAATACCAAACACTAGCTGGTCTTCCTTATCCTTACAGGTTCAATACATTTATTGATTGATACATTGGGTTTTTAGGCTGCCGGTCAGACTCATTTTCAGACATCACTGTTGGCTTTGGTAACATGTGATGGCCATGAGTCAATTTTGACATTTTAAAGACTAAATGATTAATCACTTAATAACTTCCTCATGCAGACAAACGCAGGAATACTGACAAATAGAATCGTTTCCAGAGGTCGTCATGTTCAGACAGTTAACTGCAGTCTTTTAATTGCTTTTATTTGTTTATTTTTCACTAGCTTAAAGCCGTTGCCTTGGATCGAAGCCAGGATGCGGTGGATTTAACAAGAGAGAACGCGCAAAGGTAATATCATCATAACACGTGGTTACAAGTTGTAAATGTCGTTATTGATTTGCTTTTATTGTGGTTAAAGACTTACAAAGAATGTGTCTTTAATTGGGGTGTATAGAGTAATGCATAAAGTCTGATGATGAATCTTTCTCTGCAGCCTGGGGCTTCAGGACAGATTACAAGTTCATCACATAGATATAATGAAAGGTAAGAGAAAGCAGTGCATCGCAGTTAAGTAACACGTAAACACACTGCTGATATAAAAAAAAAAAAAGTTTAAATTTGTTGTTTTTTTGTCAGATGGAGAAACTGTGTTGGGCCTCTGTAGCCCCGTTTCAGCTCTGGTCAGCAACCCTCCGTACCTGTTCTCAGAGGATATGACGTCAATGGAACCAGAAATCCTCAGGTGACTGAAACACGTTCAGCTTCTCTCAACATGTTTTTTATTTAACCTCCCCACAGTTACCGTTTATAAGCAGTAAAGTCACTTAAAACACATTATATTGAGCTAGAATAAAGTTTAAAAGGGTTTATTTTAACAACTTATTAGTACAACTCTTCCTATGAAGTGTCCATAATTGGCTGTCAACAAGTCAGATTCTGGCCATAACAGTGTTAAGTTTTGACTAAATATGGAGTTAATGTTTATAATTTTAATGTTTATAATATATATAAAATAATTTAATTAACTTATGTAATAAGTATAGTATAATGCAGCTTAGGTAACATACAGCTTATAAATGGTAAACATAGGGTGTAAAATAAAGTCATACATTTATTTAAGATTTCTTACAATAAATAAAATTGTGAATACTAAATATGATATTTGTTATAAGTCAAACCTTTGAAAATGTATAAAATTAATTTGCATCAGTGCACTAGGCATCCTCAGAAATGCGTTTGTTTGTTTTTTTTAATATGTGACAGAAAATTATATCTGTGTACTGTATGTGTGTATGTATGTATGTATACAGGTTTGAAGACCACGCTGCTTTAGATGGAGGTAAAGATGGCCTAAAAGTGATCAAACAGATTTTGAGTCTGGCTCCACAGATTCTGTCCAATCAGGGGTAAGGAACCCCACTGTTACACACACACACACACACAAACCCACCTGGGTTTAATTCCTAACGGCATCGTTGGCTTGTCGCAGGAACAGCATGTTCTGAAAAACACACGTATCGTGTTGCCTCTTTAATGAGTTAAGCTTTTTTAAAAGACTTCCAGTGAATACAGTTCCAGACATGTGTCACTACGCTCATCTCAAGGTTACCTCTGATAATCCTTCTCATAATTAAATTTGAATGCATTTTTTTTGTTCTTTTTCCTGGTAAATAACAGTCGTGTTTACTTGGAGGTGGACCCCAGACACCCCCCGCTCATTCGACGGTGGGTGGAGGCGAATGTGGAAGAGATGCATTATGTGGAGACACGGCACGACATCACCGGCAGGTCTGTGCAGAGAGCCTTTATGTCACCAGGGCAACATTAAATCTGTATTCATGTTGATCTCTTATGCCTGTCACTGTCTGTTTGATTTAAAGCAAACGGCTAAAAACATCTTAACTTAATTACCAAATGAAGCTCAAAACACTCTTAATTGACTCTCTCACGTTGCAACTAAAGTACTAAATTTAGAGTCTGTTACACATTTTGTTTATGTTTTTTTTTTTTCTTAGGCCGAGATTCTGCATCTTTCAGAAAGAGAAGTCAAACAAGGACCGCAAGCTGAATCTGGATTGAGAAACTGAGATCCTATTACGCTGGCTTTAGCCCAGGTCGCCACAGCCTCAGCTCCCCTACCCCCACTGAGCCACCAAAGCACGCGCTCGCACTTGATTTGATCACTCACAATTCACAATGTGCAGAAGCTCAAATCATTGTCATGTCACCGTTTGCACTATTAATCTGGTATCATTTGTGATCACATCCTGCTCCCGCAATAAAGAAATGTGTGCGAGATGGCACAAAAGCAGGCTCAAAGCTGAAGGTAATTACCGAGGCTTTTCTTGGAACCCTCCCTCTCAGAATCTCACCCTCCTCCCAGGAAGCATTCAGTAGTTCTGTGAATCCACTGATGAACGGTCCTCCCCTTCGCTTGTCCACTCGCTGACTCAGATGCAGGCTGTGTGCATTGTTGAGCAAAAACACACACACACACACACACACACACACACACACACACACACACACAATGTGGCCTTTTACTTCCTCACACAATCTGCTTGTCTCACACTCTTAAAGCTCAAAGGCCACAAAGTCTTTGTGTTTCAAAGGTGATTGAAGGCGAAAATATTTCGTAACAAGTGTCACAAGAGCGGCCATCATGTGGCGCTTAATAATAATAATGATGATTATAACAGTATTTCTTGTTACCCTGTGAGTAATACTGGCATTATAGGCAATATAACATGTAAGGAAAAAGCAAAGAAAGGACAGCAAGTTAGACTCCCAATTGCTCATTTTAATAAAAAAAATGTACACATGTAAAAGGTAGAAAAAAACGTCTTACTGAGAAAAATACAATGGCGTGAAAGATGTCTCAATGGAATCGGTGTACTTCTTAGGAACTGTATGTACATCCAGAACTGATGAGGGTTAAAATGGCTGTGGGCAATTTCCACATTCATCATAAAATAAGTGTAGATTACAGTACTGAAGTTTGCTCACGAGGCACCTTCCTCTCGGGGTACTTCACCACCCACTGAGTCTGAAACCAGGCACGTCAGTATGAACTGTACATATTTCATCAGCAAAAAAAATTACCCTGTGTCCAGTATTTTTCTGTGACTGGCCTCCAACTGCTGGAGCAGCGATGTCATTCACAGGCACAAAGGACCTGTTTGACAGTTTGTTTGTTTTTCCTTTAAGTCAGCTGAGATTCAGCCAGAATGATGGATTTTAAGGACACCCTTCCTCCTCCTCCTCCTCCTCTCTCCTCTCTCCTCTCCCTCAGACCTTGAAGGGGTAGTCCCGTATGTAACGCAGCAGAGGCCTCGGGAGTGGTAGCTGGTCAGGGCAGTCAGAGTGTCTGTTAATGACGAGGCGTGTGAGGTGCTGTAAGGAGGGGAGGCCCTGGGGCTTGTACACAGCCCGCTTCAGTTTTAATACAACAGATGTGTCCTGAATTGTCTGCTGTTTTGCAGGAGCCTCCCTCTCCACCTTCCCCCCTTCCTCCGCTTTCCTCTCTGGTCCCATGTAGTGCTGCACCAGGCTGGGCACGTTGGGGAAAGACGACAGGCTGGGCCGGGCTGGAGAGCTGGAGTCCAGCAAAAACTGGGCGCCGCTGTACTGGATCCGTATACTGGTGGGGCCGCGTGCAGTCCTGACCGAGAGGGTCAGCATGTACAGAGGGTGGCTGCTGTCTCGTACCAAAAAAGCTCCTTCAGATACCTCTTGAAGTGCAGCGTGGGCTTGAGCCGCAGTCACAGCTCCCCAGTACCATCCTACACACACACACACACACAAACACACACAGATTATCTTACAACATGAAAATGAAATCTGTTAAACAGAGCCTGGAACAGTTTGTGGCTTTCCAGGATTCTTAACGAGAACACATGTTTCCTACCGTACCTGAATTTTCTAGATAGCAGAAGTTGCTGGCAATCGCCCGCAGGTCCTTTGTGGGGTCCCATAACGGAGGGGTGCTCTGGAGGCAAGGGGTAGGAGGTACTGTTCCTGCCCGCATGCCCCGTGGGGGTTCGGTGGACGGAGGAGCGGGCAGAGGAGCTCTAGGACTGGACACAAGATGGAAAATATGGATTTAATGGCATGAAAAAAAACACATTTAATAAAACACAACTGGCTTTACTCCTTTATATTAATGCAGGAATCCACATTATATCTTATTTGTGGTGTTTATTACTAAGTTATAATAAGAGAAAGAATAAGAGGTTGATACACTTCAAACTGAGAAACCACAAATGTGAACATTATTTATGATTTTATTACACATACATTTTTAAAATTAATTCTGATTTTGTGATGTATTGTGTTTTGTTCTTTGTCTGTTGCTGATGGTGACCAGGACAAAAAATAACATTTTAATCTCAGATTTTACTGGTTTAATAAAAGTTTTTAAAAAGTACTGTATAATTATTACTATTAGCTTTAAGAAGTTTCAAATAAAGACAATTTTTTTGTTTTTATAATTAGTATAACAAGCATTTTAGTATTGATAGACTTGAGTTAGAGCACCTGTACAATCAACCCTCTTATTTAAAGACTTTGGATAAAACACTGATAAAGGCTGCACTGTACTTACACAAATACAATATGTTCTATAACAGAGACAGCACAAGAGAAAAAGCACAAAGAAGGAAAAAGTCCACTCACCCTGGTACACAAAGAATCATGCTATTTCTTGAATCCTCTGGGCGACAATCCGGTCGGTTATATTCTTTTTTTTATAAAACGAGACAACGAAGAAAGACGAGAAAAAAACCCTTTTTATACATCGGTCTGACACGAATGAGCCTTATTTTAAAAAAAGAAAGAAAGACAGAAAAGCGACGAAGAGCTCCGCGTACCCAAATAGGGTCTGGTCCTGTAGTTCATGAAAGAAAAACACTGGATGTAAAAATGAAACAAAAACCCCCGTTAAATATAAAATAAATTAAAACATTAAAAACCCTCTCTCTCTATCTCTCTTTCTCTCTCCGTAGCAGCCGCGGTCTTTTGGAGTGTGTTGTCAAAACCAGAATGGGATCCAAATGTGTGAAGGACAGAGTGTAAAAAGGCTTGGCTTTTAAAATTTACCGTTTCCTAGAAGTCTATTCTGAGAACTCCTCACAGCACCGGCGGCTCTGACGTCACACCGGCCGAACCAACCGCCGCCGGTTGTTTGGCTCCGCGGCGAACCGACGTCCTCCGCGGCCACAGCGGCGACGTCTCCCGGCAGGTTAAAAAAAAACAAAAAAACGCTCCTAATTTCTCGGGATAGCCGTAATATTTCTTCTTTTTATTTCCCCGTCAAACGCCTCTTCCTCCTCTCTCTCTCTCTACATTTATCTGTGTGTTTTGAGCCTCGTCGCTCCCCCTCCCGTGTTCGGCCGGTGGCTCCTGGCTTCGCTGAAACCGGCGCTCGCTCGCTCCCAGGAATCGCGCGGCTGCTTCTCCCTATCCGCTTTCCAGGAATGATTGCAGGGTTTGACTCCGCCCCGCCGGGCGGCCCTGACAGAGCCTTCATTCTGGGAATTCACCGCCTCAACATTAAAGATAATAGGAATGCACACAGGCCTGTTTCCAGTAATATAGATTCCCCTCGATCGATCCTGGTGGAAAAACACGGCGAGAGGTTTTCTCGGAGGTTTGTCGGAGTAATTACGATCAAAAGCAAGTGTTTTTTGTTTTTATTTTTTTATTGTGACAATAAACTAAAAAGAAAATGGGCCAGAGAAAATGTAATTTTGCTCACTATGTGTTTGTTCCACTGTCCAACCCTGTCTTTTATATCGGATTACGGTTGATTTGTTAAACCATGTGTTCTCAATAGTTTTGTCAAAGGTTGAGACACTTTTTTTAATTTCTGCTCGTTTATTTCTCCTGACGTTTCTTTTCTAGAGAGTTTATCTCGGAATATCCCAGTTTTCACATGAGCTCAACATCTTTTACCTAAAATTTCTAGAAGAAGCTGCTGAATAAAGACTGTTGAGGATAATACTGCTGTTGGATTGTCATCAAACTGTTATAAATCTGAGGAACATCTTGTTCAGGAGGGGGGATCAAAATATGTATTCCAACAATACCCTGAGCCATCTCTCACTCACACTCACTCACACATGGCAGCCCTGAATCAGAGTAACATATGAAAGTATGCTGTATCATAATCATATCCATCCACAAGAGCTTGCTGATCCCAAATAGCTGAATTTCAACCTTTTCCAAGAAATCCTGAAATGAGCTTAGTTTCTAAGAAGTCTTGTGGACTCTATCTATCCCTGCTGGATGTGTGGTTGAACAAATATGTCATGTTTTCCCATTTAGGAAGAAAAAAAAAAGAACACCACAATTATTTTAGTGGAAATTCAGTTGGTTTTATTTTATAATTCCTGTAATTAGAAAGGTTGAGATAACATTGTGTCTTTCTCTAAACCTAAAAGTGTTTATAATAATCACACAGAAGCACATAAAAAGAGGAAAAGACGTGGAAGAAATCATAACTTTACACTTTTAAAGAAGCCAGATTCCTCATAAAGCATTTTCTTTGTGTGTGTGTGCGTGATGTTTTGAGCACCTGATGCAATGGCAGCGTTTTCCGAATGAAGGTTGTCTTGTAAATTTATTCCAATCCTGGTGTGCATAATATGATTTAGTGAAGCAGCTGGAGAGCATTGTACGAGGTAGGCACGGAAATTACCAAGAATCTGGTAGATTAAAAAGGTACATACTGTACGAGCCTTTCCTAACTCTATGTTCCCATTCAGGTCTATTTAAAAAATATATTTTTGAGTGATTTATGTTGTAAAGTTGATTGAACTCACATGCTAAAGGTGCACGAAGGTAAAAAAAAAACATGAAATATAGAGAGTGGACACCTACAGGAAGTCCAGGCCAGTGTGAACTGTATCCAGGGAGATGCCAGTGTTTTGGACTAAGGCTAGATAAATAGATTAAGTAGTAATTTTCTTCTATCTTCTTCAATCTTCTATTAATTGATTGCTTACTCTATACAAAGCAAGCAAAAAATGCCCAACACAAGTTCTCTGAGCTCACAGTGACATCTTAAAATGTCTTGTTGTGTCCCGACAAGCCTCTAAAACTCAAACTCACTCAGTTTACTATCATAAACAGTCAAAATATCAAATATTTACATTATTACCAGCTGAATCAGTCGAGACAGAAACACTTTATCACTGCAAAACTGCAAACTTCAATTTACTACTTTTTGTCTTCATATTTTTCACACTGCGGCCTATTAAAAGAAATATATAAGATTTTACACTTTAAATCTTGTTTTTCCAAGATCTTCTTCGAGCACCAGTTTATTTTAATTGTTTCCAGCTGTGACTAACTCCTTCCTTTTCAATAGTGCCTGTCTGCACCACACACCACGTATTTGCATAGCCTACCGACATCTTTAATAGACTTTTCCCTGTGTGAACACACTACATACCCAGAACTTAGGTTTAGTGAGTGGAAGGATGTTTGGCACACAATGAATAACTGTTGTCCTCCTCCCAACATGTAAGACAAATGGGCATTTCCAGAAGATTCTGAGAACAGCTTTAATTGCCTGGAATCAGAAATATAAATCCATCCGTTGTATGAGAGAAAGCCTTATTCATCAGCGGAGCTTAGTTCTCAGGGAACAGGCCTGGAGGGGACTGCTGAGTAAGGCTGTTTCTGCTAAAGATATACAAATATTTTGTTGCCGGGCATGATGTTTAGCAGCAGCATGACTCCAGGTGACAGCAATGGCAGCCGGTACGAGAGTCAGGCTGGTCCGAACTAAAGTATCTTAACATCTTCTGGATGGATTGGACATTAAAGTTAGTACAGACATTACATTTTGCCCAGAGGATGAATCCGACTGACTCTGGTGATTCCCTGACTTTTTCCTCCTGCTCCACAACGAGGTTTACATTGGAGGTTAGTGAAATGTCTCAATAACTGTTGGATGGTCATGAAACTGGGTACGCACGTTCATGTTCCTCTCAGGATGAATTGTAATAAATGTAGTCATCCCTTGATGCAGGCGGTGGAAACCTTTACTATTAAAACTGAACCTTTAGGGCCAAAATAAAACTGTCTGGAGATGCAGATCAAGCATACAGTCAGCCAGCAGCACTGGTGTATTGGCACAAACATTCATGGTTCCCAAATGTATTTTAATGGATTTGTTCCCCTGGCTTTCCCACTTAGCACCAACATCAGGTCAAACTCTTTGTCTAATACTTTGTTTTATGACCAAATACCTACAAAACAATTCAGATTCCACCTTGTGTTTATGTATTTATGTGTGTAATTAACATAACTTAACTAAGCTTGTTAACATGGTCAATATTATACCTGCTAAACATCAGCACAGCATTGTCACTGTGAGCATGTTAGCGTGCTGCCGTTAGCATTTACAGTGGCTCACAGCCCCACCGTGCAGCCCGACAGAGAGAGTCATGTTTACAATATCTACACAGACTCATCTCACAGCACAGATGACCTCAAAAGCAGCTGGACAAAAACATCGCCAGCGGTTCCGCATTTAAAGAGCTGTTACCTGCCATGAAAAGTGATCTTGTCACTAAGAATTTTAATGTGTCCTTTGATGATGTGTCCCTGGTTGCCCTCTTATACTGTATTCTCAGAAAACACTGGCCAGAACTCTGAAGCTAAATTGATTTTCATGCAGGTAAATGAACAAAGTGCTCTCTATCACACACCGCAACCTCACTGCACTGCAGCTCCTGTCCTGACAAGAGGATGTTATCGACTGGAGTAGATGCCCGTATGCACAGCTGTTGGTCTAATTTAAAACCTCTTGAATCAGAGATTTAATTATTCCATGTCCATCCGAACGATGTGGAAGAATTACAGACATGTGACAGGAAGTTTTTCCATGCATTAAACACGAATAAGAAGACACAAATCTAATCTAATATCACAGTATAAACAAGTTTTTATTTAGAACTTTCATATTGTTTATTTAATATAAACATTGTTGATACAAAACCTGTGTTGGAGGCTACGTGTGAGGACTGAAACATCTGACTCTAAAGTCTATTATATTGTTAACTGCAGATGTGTTCTTATAAATATGGAAGAACCAGACAGATGGTCTTGTTATTGTGAAGCTAATCTGTCTGACTCTTTTGTAAATGGAGGAAGTCATCAATAAACACTTTTTATTTTTGTTATACATTTTTTTCTTATATGCCACAATATATACATATATACTTTACATATATACTGTGAGATTGATTTTTTTGTGGGAAAAACAGATTAAAGACAATTTATCAACATATTTGTTATATAGCACAAGTGTTTCAGTACACAAACAGCAGAGGAAATCCATCAATGTGCAGGTCCCTCTGGGCCTGACGAGGTGTTTGTGGGTCTATAGTGCAGACTGGACTACATATATATATATAGGAGAAATGTGTCCACCTCTAGCTGTCCTGTATGGTCCCTCCTGGCCCCTTAATGATGCGCTTGTGTCCCCTTTTTCCTGCCGGGCCGCGGGGCTTGGCGAAGGCCTGTTTGTGGGCATGCTGCTTGGGATGGACCTCGTCATACAGAAACTGCTCTGTCAGTTCATCTCCGTCATCAATCTCCAACTGCACATACAAAGCGGAAAATATGCAGGTGAACAAAACGCAGTTCTTGGAATTTAGGCTTTAGACACAGTTGAACATAAATGATTTTGACATTTATTAGTCAGCTCGAGGTGCGTAACATTTAGAACTGTATACAACCTGGGCTGTAACCAGGGTGAGGACTACGGGGAGCCTGAGGGAGGTCGGCTCCTCTTTATATGACATGAGCTCCCCTGAAAACATGAATTGTGAGATTTTGGGGGCTCTCTAAAATAAGCTATTTTTGCTATGCTTTTCTAATTTTCTGTATCTTCATCATTATGGATTATGTATAAACTTGGGCTGCTATTAATGTATGATTTGTGCATTAGGGTAATTCATCACTAATTCACTTAAAATAAAGATAATGGTATTCTTACCATCGCCACTGAAGCATGGCTGCACAGTATCATAAACTTCAGTTCAGAAAATATACAGAAAAATAAACATTTCCTAGTCCCACTCTGCACACCGAATTGCCATTATTCATTTCTCTATTTTGTAGTCAGCGTACTGTGCATCACAGTCAGTCCAGCTACGGTACAGTTCGCACACTGGCTGTAACCAGGATTTTATCCTGAGGTCCAAAATCCCTTAATGCAGCATTTTAAATTCTGTCCTCCAACCTGAAGGTCTGAATACTATACCGAAGTCTCTCCACACTGCTACCAAGCTCCACACAATTCCAGTGGATAAACACTGATTAACCTTTATTTATTATTGATTTTTGTACGTCTAAAAGTAGTCAAATATAAATATACTGAGTGTAAAAATCATAGAAATAAGGCTCCAAAATACCAACTATATGTGAAAAAACACAAAGAGCATGACCTTGGTTTTCTCAGTGGTAGCTGCAACCCTGTGTTATGTAAGTTTCTATCCCTCTTTCATCCATTACCTTTTTAGCAATTTCCAAATGGTAATCTTTCTCGACACCCTCCAGTAGTCGACTCTTGCAGCTGGAATACAACATCCGCTCCTTAATGCTGCAGCTGTATCCTGGCATGGAGTATATGAACACTGCAGACAGAATAATTTTATATAGAATTTATAAGTTAATGTTTTGTATTGTTGTATCAGCATGCATGTGCACTTTGTACATATGTAAAAAGAGGAGCATTAATGGAGTCCAGGGACATACCGACAGATTCAAGATAGTCTCCTTCATGGGAGTGTTTGTAAAGGAAGAAGTGATATCTGGGAGTGTCTTTGGGAACTCTGCGGGGCAAATCTCGAGTTTCTGTCGGGTTAGAGTGGACCAGCTCGATTGTCTCCTTCTCTACATCCAATCGCTGAAACACAATAACAATGCAACAAGCAAAATATCAGAAGTCTAATACACCAACTCCTGACACCAACCTGCTCAGACTTGAGACTAAAACAATGCCTGTGTCACTTTCTGGAGTAACCTTAATCCTATATGACCTCCTCAGGCTCACCAGTTGTATGTAGTTGATGCGTTTCTGGGCAAGTTGCTGCAAGGCTCTTTTGGCTGTCTCCTGCAGTGGGAAGGTGAGGCCCTGAAGCGTCTGGTGCTTGCTCTCCACGCTGATCTCTGTCTTCACCTGCAGGGGGCAGCAAGCAAACATGCATCCATTTTAAGCCTCTAAAGGAAGATTCAAAAAGTGTTTAATGGAATAATATAACTTTTTCACAAACTATCATTACATCCAGTAGATATAGATCCTCTCCGTCTTCCCCTATTCACCTCGAATTTGAATTCTCATTAAATATGCACACACAGTGAATAATGTATCAACGTACCTGTTTAACCCGGCCCTGAAAAAGCAATCACAACAACAAAGTCACATTTCAAATAGAAGAAGCTACTTTAAAGACACAGACCGAGCGTGGCACATGCCATGATGACAACACTGCCGAGGGCATGTTGACCTCTCACCTCAGTAATTTTGATCCTCTGGAGCTCCTGCTCAGCTAATGTCAGCGGGGCAGGACCTGAGCAGGATGACACATGACGCTGGTAGCCCAGCAAACAGATGTCCTCCTAGTGTAGCAACCAAAACAAGAGGCTCTTTACAGGAAGCACAGGTCAAATACCTCTAAAAACACGTCATCAGCAGACACAGTCACAGTGAATTAAAATTTATTTAAATGTTTCTGACCTCAGCTGTGCCAAACATCTCATACTTCACGTGGCCACCACCAAACTCTTTCTTCACTGTGGCACGGGTGGCAGCATACAACATCTTTTGTTTCACCTGCAACCATCAGAGGAGAAAATAGAAGTACTGTCAGACAGAATTGCTACAATGCTTATAAACACATGCAAACAGGTAAGTTTGGTCAGCTTAAAACAAATAGGGGAAGTTTGACTGTAACAGAGTGATCTCAGGTTGTGTTTAAGACTGCAAGTATTTCAAAAGTTAAAAACTGGGTTGTTGTTTGTATAAAGTTGCATTATGGTAAATGTAGGATCCAGCATTTTTTAACACATGACCCATTCTAGGTTTCTTCTTATGCGATTAGTAACTGATTTAATAATAACATCAAACTTCTTTTGATGTTTTTAGTATAGTTACAGACACTTCATTTTACAATGTTCTCATTATTACGTATTGTAGGATATATAGCCATTTCCTGTTGTATGAAATGTACCTATGTGGTACAGTATTTTTTCCATGGTTTTGTATGTGGGCTTATTCTATTGAATAATACAAACTGTATCTATGTAGTTTACCTTATGATTATTTGTAAACAAATGTTTAAAAACCAGAAGATCTCAGTAAGGTTTTGTTTACAATCAGACGACCTCATTGACCTTTTTTTGTATGGATCCTGGGAGCTGCTGGTGTTTTTTTTTTATGCCAACATTAATGTTGTTAACAAACTGAATACAAGTGATTGACAGGGTGCAGGATTTGTTTTTCTTCCTCCAAAAAATGACATGTAAATTTAAGGCTTTCACCTATCACCAGCAATGTGTGTGTGCAGCTTCAGTGTACGGTGCAGAATGATGGCATACTGGAGACTGGTCAGGAGACCATGATATGAAGATCCACTCGTAGCCCTGTGCATTCTGGGAGTCGAGGCGGTAGAGGACGTAGCAGGGGTCCTGGTCGTCCAGGAGAGGAAGCAGGAAGTGATCATAATCCTGGTCCCAGCTCTTTTCCGGCTCTCTGTAGGCCCCCAGCACCAGCTGCTCTGAAAATCAGACCAGTACTCATCACATACCATAACCTCCTATATGTAACATGGCCTTTGCAGAGCACATTGACACATACAGACGCAGTTAGATGACACTATAGTCCACAGTCGTGTAGGTTTACACGTAGGAGGATAATTGCAATTGGATTTATAAAAATCAGGTGTATACTGTTAAATTCTCCCTGAAGCTATACCTATTATTATACATTATATAATGTGTTTGATTGCTTAAACATGGTCCAGTGGAGGGGCCTGCAGTCATGCGTATTCACATTAATTAATGAAATTAAAATATATTCTGGTCTGTAACTACCTACACAAACAATTCAGCATAAAAAAACAAACATAAAAAGGCAAAAGAGTACAGTAGAAACAACAGATAGCATACAGAGCAAACAAGTGCAGCTTATTGAGACGACAAAGACAATGTGCAAACTTTTTGATGTTTAAAAAATAACATCAGACAAAACTTGACTCTATTTATATTCTCAACTTTATCACATTTTTATATCTGTTCATTAACTGATTTTCAAACATTCTAAAACTCAAAAGTGCAGCACATTAAAACACAATGATGTTTTACATTAGTCCTTTCTACATATTCATACTGTCACAGGGATTTTAGTCTAATTTTAAACAACTTTCAGGAAGTAATTTGTTTTTGACCTTATATATATAGGCTATATATATATATATATATATATATATATATATATATATATATATATATGATCTCTATCAAGTCTATATATGTTAAGTACAGTATTTATATTTGTAAGAACATTATGAACAACTATAGTAGCCGATATATTTATGGTGGCATGTGAACAAAAAATACAACCTCCCAACTTCGTCAGAAAAGGAAAATGTTAATCTCTGTTTATTTTGGTCAACTAGGGCTGGAGTTACTTTCATTATTGATTAAACTGATAATTATTTTGCAAATAAAAGATTAACTGCTTGGTCTACTAAATGTGAGAAAATAATTAAAACAGCTCTTTACATTTTCTAACTGTGACATCTTCAAATATCTTGGTTTTGTCCAACTAACAGTGTTTTCAAACAATAAAGCAGCACATTTTCACAATTTAGAAGCTACAGCCTGACAAGGTCTGGGATTCTTGGTTTGATTATCAATACATTCGCTGACTAATTGATTGGCTAATCAACCATCAGCCCTCATTGCTCACCGATTAATGTGTAAACCCACTTATCTGGTCCAAAGTCAGTCTAAAAACCTCAACTGACGTCTCACTGTTTGCTCTCTGTGTTCGCTCCACGTGCTGTGGTGAAGAAAGGCAAAGACCAACCTCTGGCTTTAAAAATATTACCAGATACATTTCTGAGCTGACGAAATACTAAATAACTCGGCTTAATGAAATACACAAAATACACACATACACCCAAAGTCTGATGTCCTTGTGGGGTGCAGGGGGATTTCCTGACCGTCTCTTGGGGCATGATGCTATTCTGAGGCACAACACATTCCTGCTCAGCACACACACATACTTTCCATTAGCAATTCTCTCTAAGTCTTTAGAGGTCTGTAATAGTATTAAACTGTACGTAAATGACTCACTTTAGGGGTTGTGTATTGTCTTTGTTCCTTAAAGAGTAAAACAAAGTAATAAAATAATGAGACAGACGCTCTCAGGGGTACAGTTGGGTGATGGCATACAAACGAAGCCAGCAGTGATGAAACCAGCCAGAATGATCTTGTTGCTCTTTTGACATTGGGGCGAACAGTGTCACTGGGCAGCAGCAACCATGTCAAGTCACGTGTCGATCAAAATAGCCCAAGTGCCGCCCAGGGAAGATCACGGTGCTTTAAGTAAGGAAGTCAAACAGAGCCGACACCCCTCTGTCTCGGTGGCACCGAGCTCGTCTCTATTGACATCAATACTCCAAATATTTAATGTGATGCAAAGATAGCCCCCCAAAAGTCCCAGAATGCATCTGTGATGAGTCAGATTACAGCTGGTCAGATACCCAAACAAGATATAAACACCTCATGAACATATCAGTCCAGTTCCATAACCTGCTACTTAGAAACCTGTTGCCTCACTGCCCATTTTTCCTCAGACAGCTCAGCTGACACACTGTCTGAGCTCACACAGCTGACGCAATCCTCTTGTCCTAGAAGTTAGACAAAGTCTGCTGCAGCGGTTTACCAACTTTTGTTTTTGTTTGTGAGCCCGTAATGTGAAGCAACATCTGTTTGTGATGCCTCGTCTTGAAAACTATTCTTCAATAGCGCCCCGGTTTGTGTTTTTAAGCCATCTTTAAAATACCCAGACTGATTACAGCAACACTTAAAGCTGCTCTGAAGGTTTTTCCAGAATCTTTGTTAGTTGTGTCTCAATTCAAAATGAAGATGCTGGCCGGAAATATCATATGTCGTTGCTCAGTTTTTATTTTATTTATTTATTTTTTAGCACAAAAACATGTTTTCTTTTTTTGTATCATACAGATCGAAAAGGGACATTTTCCATTTCCGGCTACCTTTATTAACAAAATACAGTTTCAACTTGAGAAACAGTTTAAAAATCTTTAGTATTGTGCAGCGAACAGAACTATTAGATTAGATAATTAGAACAGCAGTAACTGTTGGGAAACAACTTTATGGGTTTTTTAAAGATCACCGGATGCTCAGTTCTCAGTTGTTGAGTGTAATGATAATTCATGATACAAACTGCAGTTTCATGTGAACACTAAATGGTACTTCACAATAAAAGGGCAGAATAATTTAATATTTTCTACTTCAATAAATGTCTGATGGCCACTTAGAGTCCTCTCACGATCCCCTTTGTGAAGGTCCAGACCCTCAGGTTGGAAACCATTGGTCTATAGCTTTATAAGAGTTTCCAGCTCGTGATAAAGGTGACATCCAGTCTGGTTTGGAAGCTTTTTGAGCAACACGAGGCCACTACAGCCATGTAGATTATGTTAGAAAGTAATATAAAGTCAATGGGTCTTAAGGAAAATCTGAGGGGTCACCAAATGATTAAAGGGAAGAGAAAGAAACTCAAGATTTCTCTTCCCGAAACCTGTTTTCCAGTGAACACCAAATATCTCATCATGCCTCTAAAAATCCTTTAGATGAAACAAACACCTTCACATGTGATCGGTGGCCACAGGTAGACACTGTTTCATTGTAAGTGTCCACAACCAAACACTCTGGGGACTGCTGCCATAGAGGTAGGATACATCTTTGCATAAATAACTTGTTTTTACAGATGATTTGTTGAGTGTCAGATGAGACGAGCTCTGGACATTGTGTAAGAACAAACATGAAGTACTTAAAACTAATATCACAGATGATTTATACATCCCATCCCACTGAGGGACCAACATTATTACTGTCCTGGGTCACTCACCATCTAGGATGCAGACCTTGAGGAGGCGCACTGCTCCACCTCTTGCCCTGGCCAGGAACTCCCTGAGCTCTGGCGTCACAACTAGTGCGAGAAACATGGCGGGTCAGCAGTCTCTCTTCTCCTCCCGCCAAGTGCTGCTAGCAGGGGTGTTGAGAGACAGAGGAGAAGCAATAGACGAGGACTGGAGCTCCACAGCACCAGGGCCCAAATATTCAGTCCAGTCAAGAGTCACTAAAGTCCAACCAGAGCAGCCTGTTGTAAAAACGTCCTTTACTAAGTGCAGCTCTGACTGCTGAAGAAGAGGAACGCCGAGTGTGTCTGGACTCGTTGAGAGAGTGTGACGGTGTGAGAAGGGACATCGCTCAAGTAACTAGGACAGGATCATGTGCACAGTGAGGGAACCTGATCACCTCTCTCCCAAATTTAGCTCCCACTGGCTGACTGTCCAGCCCTGGGTACTGGTCTGTGAAACCCCCACCACACAGCAGGACCGACAGAGGAGGAAGAGAATGTGACCTGCAAACCTCATAACTTCTGAGCCAAGAAACAATTCAGCTCAGACGTATCGTCACATGCGAGCGTTTGGAAGGATGACACCTGTAAGAGTTCTGAGGCAGACGCACTGTTGTTTAACCATTGATGCACTGAAGTGGACTGCGTTCGTCTTCTCATTTGAATTTTACCATGTAAATGTCTGATATTCTGCTGGTTATGAGTTACAAATCACAATAAATAAGGCTGAGGTAGGAGATAAAAGGCTGATTTATAAAGGAAACCATATTTGATCAAAATTAGCATATTGCTTAAGTTTACACAACTTATTTAACTTTGTTGATCACAAACACCTCTCATCTTACTCCACACATGACAAATGTGATGATCAACAGATTGTGTAAGATGTTTTTCATGTCATGAATCGACTGGTCACGTCGAAATCACATTCCCTGTCTGAAATCCAAACACATTTAAAACTGATATTTATGGGTTTCTTTATAAGTCCTAGTATAATTTATACAATAATAAATGAATATTAAACCTGAAAATTAACATTACACTGACAACTCATAAGCTTGACTGACCAAGTTATATGAACTACAAATTAACTATTAATATATACAGTATAAATTTCCCCCAATTAATAACCTTTAATAATTTGTGCTTCAAAAGATAATTTCCTTTAATAAAATATGACTCATATACATCATATAAAGTTCACTACATCATCAAGGGCCAATGTAAACTGACTTTCTCAACTGATACCAAAGTCATCAGGACAAAAATAAAAACGCATTAAAGTAGGTTTGGATGGTTTGATTCATTACAAAAAGAAAATCAATGGTTGAATCAGATAAATATCTCTTGTAGCACGGCACCATTGGATTGTGTAATATGTTTGTAAACACGCAACAACATAATAACAAAGTTGAAGAAACCAACATCTTACAAAGAAACAAGGTTTAATGTTAAATAGAAATATAAAAAAAGAATAGACAAATGATCTATTTCTGAAAACTACTTATTTACAATTTGAACTGAATAGGCCGCACTTCCTGTGAAATGTACACAGAGCTGGTTGTGCTGCCCCCTGCTGGTCACTTCAACTTTGGGCTTCGCTTTACAGTCATCAGTCATCGATGGTGGGGAGCCAGAATGCCTGAAAGATGAGAAAACATTTAAAAACGTTCAGTCACATCAGGTCCACTTTGGGCTGCTGGTGTTTTCTGTGTGTGTGTGTGTGTGTGTGTGTGTGTTGTGTGTGAGATTGTGTGTGTGGTGCATAATTGAGAAATTTCTGTTTTTTCTTTCTTTTATACAATTTACTTTTGGGTCGTCTTTCTTTCCAGTTCCCCCTGTAATTGTTACTTTTATCTTGTTTACATCTTTGGTATCATTTCTTTACCTTTTATGACCAATGTCATTGTTAGGAATAGATTTCAGATTAGTCTGTTATTCTTACATCATTTTAAGCCAACATGGTCTATATTTTCTAGTCAAAACTGTGTTTAGTTTTTCATGGCGGACTTGGAGAGAGAGGGAGAGAAGCCTTCAAATAAACCAGTAAGAATAAAGCCACCTGTGTTTGCCTGTGTCCAGAGAGAATTATAGAGAAACTCCAACTGTTTAATGATGCGAGTGGGCACTGAGTGACGATGTGCAAGTTCAAAGGACTTGCAGGTCCATGTCTACAGGGCACGGTGCTGCAAGGACGGATCGCCAAAACACGTGGTATACACCATGTTAAGTGAGAAGACACGCAATTTTAAGGAGTACTGTTAATAATTAATAGTACTGTATCTAACGTGGCTATTTTTCACAGTGGATTTGGGTGTGGGGGTGCAGAGAGAAGCCTTTAAATAAAAAAGATTATGCTGATTAAATGCTGAACTAAACAACATAACAAGCTCACAATCAGCCACATGAGCAGCGTACAGTTGTATCAAGTGTGTACAGTATTAGATTTGAGTCACTGTGGGCATCAGGTGTTATGAATGAACCAGTAACAGTGTAACGATGTGATAAGGAGAAGGTATATAGATATAGATTATCTTTTTCCATGTGTGTACTATGAAGGACCTGCAAACATTCATTTTGTTGTATAATGAGCCTCCTGTGGCTCAAGAAGTAGTAGTAGTCAGTTTAGTAACATCACATTACATAAACATGTTATTGGCACTAAATTCCCCTAAAACAACTTAGATGTCCATCGTGTTAAACCCTCTAATGCAGCTTCAGTAATCACTGTAATCTGCTTCAGTAACTCACTCCATAGTGCCGCCACCACCACTCACCATGTTGGAGCAGGCACTGGCAAACGTCATGAACTTGGGGTTGAACTGTAGGCAGGTAATCGGTCCCGTGTGCTTCCCGTCTAATAAAGCCACCTTCATACCGCTCTCTGCATTCCACACGTGGATCTTTCCATCCTCCGAGCCTGAAAAATATGGACAAAACAAAAATTTGATAATATGTTGGCACAGTTATAGGATAGCTAGGACCTGCATTCTTTAAAAAACAACAACAAAAAGAGATCACGGATGGTATGTGTGAGACATTCAACAGTAGGGGTGCAACAGATCACAAAATTGGATTGTGTCACAGTTTTGAGTCAAGGATCAAATCATTTTTCGTCCCACCAGAGCAGCCTGTTATAAAAAAAATCCTGTACTAAAGTACTGACTGCTGAAGATATTGCTGCTGAAGGATCGCTGAGTGTGTCTGGACTCGTTGACAGTGTGACCGTGTAAGAAGGGGTCAGAGTTAAAAATGAGCCACTTTGGCTCTGATGCAGCTGCCACCACAGTAGTGCTAAATATAATACTGTACAGTATAGCAGATACACTGTGATAACCAGCACGCCCAGTTCCACCACTGAAAATGCCAAAAGTCACTATGACTATGGGATTTCCCCTCAGTGCAGAAAGCGACAGCTTTTTAATTAGTCGCTCTTCCCTAAACTTTCTCACACTCTTCCAGAGTTAAACAGCACACATCTGTCTGAAACCCTGCATTGAGATTTAGGGAATTATGACCATAAACTGTGAAACTGTATTTCACACACTGATTAAATTTAGCCCATGGTTGGTGGTGAACTGTGGGATCATGGATCAACTGTTGCATCACTATTTGATAGACTTACAGGCCCTCTGGTACACTCAGCATAGCATCTTTTGTTGTAATTTGTTAAATTGACTTAGGAATTGATTTTTTTTTTTTACTTCAGACTCCATTATTTGTTTTTCTATATGTGGCTTTAGTATAATTCAATAATTCAAAAACCAACTGACTAGGGACTTTTTATGCTTGTGATAACATTTTGTGAGTCAACATTTTGGTGTTGTTCCTTAGATAAAATAAAGAATGAATCTGTTTCAGAGGGCGATCTCTACTTACCAATCATAACAAACTGAGAATCCGGAGTGAATGATGCCTCTAGCGTTACACCTTTACTGTTGTTGTAGCCCTGTGGGTAAATGAACAGCCGATTGTGCAGATTAGTACTGAAAACTCAAAAAATAAACTTCACTGTCTTAATTTCTTTTGATATAGATGTGTTTGTGTATCTGTCTGTGTTTTCTTTTCAAGTAACACGTTTTTCCACACATTGTGCACGATGAAGAATTGTCTCTTACCCCAAAGGAATGTAGCACAGCACCCTTAAAAGCGTCTAAGATGCGAAGGGCTCCGCCATTAGTAGAAAGAAGAATGAGTTTTCCGTCATTGCTGAACTTGAGTCCTGTCCACTCGCACGTCCGGTCGTACTGAAGCTTGAAGGTTGCAAAGGGGCCCTGTTGACAAGAGGAATTATGAATATTTCACTACAATTAAATTAAAAGTTACTTACTTCAAATATTAGATTAACACACATCGTGGATGAGCTCCCTCTCTCATAACACACACAAACACTTCTTACTTTGTCAAACGACCGCAGATCATAAAGTTTAACCATCTCTGAATTTATTCCAGCAGCAAAAATGAGGCCCTCTGGATCAAAGGAACACACTGGCTTCCCCTGTAGGTGCATCAGACCCTAAATTTGATAGAGGACAAGACAAAGTCAGAATTGGTTTTATCTTTCCCAATTTTCATATTAGTGCAACACTAATGGATGCTCACCACATTACAACAAAAAGTTACTCACCTGGCAGTTAGGGGACCGCAAATCCCAGAGTCTGATTGTTTTATCTAATGAGCCAGAAATAAATGTGTCGTCCACAGGAGACATGGAGAGAGAGGTCACTCTGTTCACAAAGAAAAAAATGAAACAAGGTACAAATGAGAAAACAAGAACTTCCAAATCAACAGTTTACATCAAATCAAGGTACAGACAGGCCAGAGTAAATCCAGTCCTCACCTTTTGTTATGCCCAGGAAAGTAGCGGATGTATTTGTTGTCATGAAGGGACAGGTACCGGATAGTATCTTCAAGAATAATAATAACATAATTATCGTGTTGTACATAAAACTTGACCGGCAAGAAACAAGCTGACATTCAAATACGAAGTTGATTACAGACAGATCTGACGTGTTGACTCAACCGTGGGCAAGGCAGTCACTTGTACAGTTAGCTCCTGTATGGGGCAGAATCACAGACCCTCAAACTGTACAAACAACTACCTCAGACCAAAGTGAGCAGAGTGTCTCCCACAAACAGTCCACAGGGGCACGGCATCCTGTAAACATCAACCTCTGGTCGATGTCTCAACAGTCCAACTAGAACAACACAAACTAAAACATGTCCTCGCTATGTTACCAAAGATAAAGAAAAGAAACTACCAACAAATATTTGTGCATCAACATACCATCGATTTTGTTGGAACTGTAGACCACAGTGTTTGCAGCATGTGTGTACCTGATCAGATCCACTCCATACTTTTTACTGTAAAGGGTCCTCTTGGGTCTGCCATAAATTAGATTACAGAAAGGAGAGAAAAATGAGAGTGAATAAGCATAAAAGATATCAATCCATGCTGAGATATAATCTAGCCGTCTTCTTATATTACTTGTCATTTCACAATATTACAGAACACATAAAAAGTACAGACTCATGCAGAGATACTCGTCTTTGTTTTAAATCTTCACGTACTGAATGCTGAGAGATTTTTTGGCTTCTCAACAGCAATTTTAAAGACAGGCTTTGAGCTCTGACATTTTGTGAGGAACATTTATTATTTTGACCAGTAAATCAAAGAAATACTGATAGATTACCGCTCCAACAAGCACTTCTGTTATTCACTGAGTCATTACTTGGTCTACAGCAACAGTGCTTGTCACAGTTTCAAACTGTCATCTTCAAATACCTTGTTTTATTCAGCCAATTAAAATATTAATAATAATACAACCAAATGCAATATGCAAAGCACAGAAGCTGTTATTTTCGATGAAACAGCATTATAATGAACTACTTTAGTTCTGCAGATACCCTGGCCTACACATCTTGTTGGAGACCCCAACAAATGTCACACCAATATGATTTTAAATAGTTTTACAGTGAAAAAACTAACCAACAATCACAGTATCGGTCACAATAATCACAATATGATCTTGTTACCATATCATGCAGCCCTAATAATCAATATATATCACATTATACTATAAAAAGGAGAAAAGCAGCAACTGCTCACAGTTCGTTTTCTGTACATTAACTAATAATTTGAGCATTATTTTAAATAACTTACACGTTAGTAGCCGCCCTGTTATGTTTTTAACCAACTCAAACAAACCTAACGTTTAGTAGCGTTTAATTATATTTTAACAGATTGTGTTCAAGCACTATAATGGACACAGCATATTACATAACCTCAGACACACACAGACACAGACATAATGTTTCAAACTACATGCACATACAGACATTTCACGCCTCATACAGTCGCTGCTGAGTATTATCGCAGTGCAGCAGGCCTCGCTAACTAGCATAGCAGGTAGCTAACGTCAAAAACAATAGAGGAAAAAAAGGACAAAACCGCACTTACTTCCCCTCTTGGCAGTCGTACAACACCAACGAATCGTCGTCGCTGCTGGAAATGATTGTTTCTCCGTTTGAACTGAAATCGAAACAATTAATTTTGTCTGAGTTTTCCCGAAACACCTTAGCAACTCTGAAGCTCCGCAGCACATTGTCCGTGAGCTTCATGATGGCCTCTGTCTGTGTCTGAGGGGAAGCAGGCCCTCGTTTCACTTTAAAACCGGCTTACAGAAGTCCCCTGTGGTATCTCGTATATATATATATATATAAACTGTAATTGTGCGACCAATTCTCTCTCTCTTTTTTTAAAGATGTATGATTCAAAAACAGCGACGAAAGCCCGCCTGTGATACTTGTGATTCACTAGTGAGGAGGGAGGGAAAAGCACCGCCTTCGCCACGTCGGTGACGCGCATATTCATCATCTGACACGCGCATTGGGCAGTTATCGCGAGAGTTGGTGTGTGTGTGTGTGTGTGTGTGTGTGTGTGCACTTGTACGAAGGACTCCAAAACAACAGAAAAACCAAAGGAGTAAGCGTTACACACCAATATAAGCAATTAAATTAACAAAATGAAATAGACTTCACAGAAAGGATAAAGCAGTATTTTACTCGTGACTTTCAGCTGCACCCAACCGGACTATTTGTCCCTGTAGACCTTGTCTGAAAGTGTGTTAGCAGCTGCCGCTCCGGGCTCCAGCACTTTCTGCCACATTCAGAGCCTTGTGTTAGGTCAAACTATTGTTTTCTGACAGCTTCCAGGTTTTTCACCAGCATTCAAAATGGACTCAGAAGTGAGGAAGAAAACAACAACAACAACAGCAAGGGGTTTGTCACCGCAGGAGTCTGAGGTATGAAGCAACTTTTACCTGTTTTTAATCATCAGCCCGTCTGTTTCTTGTCAACAGTGCCAACAGATTTGCTCGGATAGTGTAAAAAGATTGACGGTGTCCATGGTAACCTACATAGAACGTCACAACGGTTGACGTTCTATGCAGGTTTAAAATAGAATCGGTTGAAGGTTCGATTTCGGTTTGCCCACCATTTTGACCTGTAAACATTGTGACTCATGTAACCTTAGCAGCTGGAAATAAATACAACATATTATCTAAAATTAAACTCTTTCAACAGTAAGTGTATAAGTATATTAAGACAAGTTTAAGTGCAAACTTGCTTGCTTGTCCAGAATGACATACTGTGCATTAACACTTAAAGGCACATCATGAAAAATAATGTCATAGTTGTATTGTTTTAATTTATCCATAAATAGCAAACAACAGTTTCAAATAGGTTTATTTTAAGATTTTACCATTTGTGCATTATGAGTTAAAAACCTATATGACTGTATGTAATTCTATATTGCAAAACACTGTATCCTGATACATCTCTCTGGAAAATTTGTTACTATATCAAATAACCACATGACTTTCGAGTCATATTACTATAAATCTGTCCTGCTCATTGATTTGCAATGTTGTCCACAATGGCCTTATGCAACCAGAGATGTTACAGCCACCAGTATAAACAGTATCACAATAAACAATCACTGATGGTTGACTAATTTATATCATCCACACCCCGTGGGCAGTGTGCTATTTCTTAGGATATAATAAATAAACAAATTCACAAATTCTTACTCTAAAGTATGACAAGCTGTCATACTTTTCTTTTGTTATTATAAACTGCATATGGCTCTGAATATTGTCAAACATATCAAAAAGACATTTCTACAAGTGAGGGTGGCTCTCAGCTGTCATAAACACACAATGCACTCTTTCATGACTCCCTTCAAACAGAGCATTAATGCAGGTGTCTTCACAACATGCATTCAGTGTAAACTACCTTTAGGGTGTGTACCCTTTGGACCATGCTGCAGCATAAACAGCTCCAAAGTCTGCCAGATAATATGCTCGTGTATTTCACCACTGTGTTCACTGTTATACCACCACTGAACTTACTTCTAGTGTAACTTAACCCTCTTTTTTTTTTTTTTTTTAACACCCAGTGGGTGGGTGGGGGGCAGAGACAAACAAGCAGCTGGTCAGTGGTTTGATATGTCCTGTGGTCCATTCAAGTCAATCATTACACACAGGGTACACAACCCAAGTCAGTGTCTGGTCAGATTTTTGCAGCACTGCCTGACTGCTGAGCTGGAGCACATATAACAGGCTTCCACAGGACTCCACAGGCTTTATATCCCCTTTACAACCTTCACAGGTAGGCAGCCTCATTAGTTCTCAGAAGTTCTCTTACAGGGAAATGTTTAACTGGCTTAGGATGATGTAAAGTATGGTTAATTAAACACAAACAGTAGGCAATGGTGGGTAAACTTCCTTTTCAGCCTGTAAAAATAAGGCAGCACGTTAACAAATGTATGTGAGTAGAACAGGTATGCAACAGCAACACATAGTATAATCCTCAAGTATTTAGATTTAACCAGGGGTAAGATTTTAACAGAGTTACAACATGTGTACAACTTAACTTAAAGATATTACTATTTAAATATAGATTCCTTGTAGCCATAGTGTTTTAGGCTTTGATCCATCAGCTGTTAAATGTATTACTTACACTGCAAATGTCACTGGCATTTTATCTTCAGGCTTATTCTCTTGTCAGTGCTCATTGTGTCAGTATCTCACCTTGATATATGTTTGCTTGTCAACAGCACTCACCACACCAGCTGACACTGACACCATTTGTATAAACAGTGACGTGAATCTTTAATCTTTCAGGCAATTTCTGCTCAGACCCGCTGAACTGTCCATGGCCCGTGTGCTCTCCCTGTTCCGGCCTCAGCCTTTTCTGTCCCTGGTGGGCAGGAGAAAACCTACCCTGTGCAAAATGTCAATGGACTCACGGGCACGTGGGGTGTTTGCAGCTGCGGTGGAAGCTGTGCAGCCAGACACTGTGGTGCGGCAGAGTTTAGAGCGCAAGGAGGACTCAGTCGTTATCGATGGTCACAAATTCATACTCAAACACAACCTGCACTTGGTGGGCTTTGGAAAAGCTGTACTGGGTATGGCTGCCGAGGCAGAGAGGATTGTGGGGGATCACTTAGTGAAAGGAATAATAAGCGTGCCACATGGGATTCAGCAGACATTACAGCAGCATGGGAAACAGTAAGCAAATGCCTTAGGATGTAAACAAGTCAAAGTATTACTCAGAAAACAAGATTAATGTACATAATACAAATTCTCCCTTCCATCGCAGTCATCTGTTGTTAAAAGAAAACAGTCGTATCAAAGTAATGGAGGGAGCTAAACACAACTTACCTGACGCTGATGCCCAGAAGGCAGCTGAAGGGATCAAGCAGTTGGCCAGTGAACTGACGGAGAAAGACCTGCTGCTTGTACTGATTTCAGGTGCAAATACATCTTCTCTTGTTGCTTTTTCTTTACAAAATCATACCTTGAAATGTACATTTCTAACACAATGTGTCTAGGTGGAGGCTCTGCGTTACTACCTGCGCCCATGCCGCCAATTTCGTTGCAAGAGAAACTGGATGTTACCCGCAAACTTGCAGGTGCTGGCGCCACGATTCAAGAATTGAACACTGTGCGACGGGCCCTGTCTTTCTTAAAGGGTGGAGGGCTTGCAAACTGTGCTCACCCTGCCCAGGTAACACACTTTTCTTTAACCAGCTTTTTATTGTAAGCTCATTTTAGCATTGTACTTTGATTATCACTCCTCTAATCACGTCTTCACAGGTGATTGCACTGATATTGTCTGATGTGATTGGGGACCCTCTGGACTTGATAGCCAGCGGCCCCACAGTGCCGAGTGAGGTGTGGCCTGAAGAAGTTTTATCAGTCCTTGAACGTTACAAACTGTTGAACTCTCTACCAGCCTCAGTAAAGGATGTCCTTGGGAGACTAAGTCCCCGGGATAATACTGATGAATCTACCACGCCAGGACATGTTCTCAATGCTGTGATTGGCTCCAACAGTGTTGCTCTCAAGTGCGCAGGTCGCCGGGCTCGAGAGCTAGGTTTCCGCCCTGTTGTTCTGGCACCAGGAGTGTGTGGCGATGTAAGGTCAGTCTCCAGGCTGTACGGCCTCCTGGCCCGATTTGCTTGTTCTCGAGTGGAACCTCCTCCAGAGATTGCCGCTGAGATGCTGAGACTGGGGCCCGAAGTGGGCGTGGAGAGCTGGGACCTCTGCCGTACCATGCAGGTCTTGGAAGAAGGACGTACAGAAGGATGGGGTGCCACGTGTCTGTTAGCCGGAGGTGAGCCCACTGTGGAGCTGACAGGAAAGGGTCGAGGTGGTCGAAATCAGGAGCTGGCCCTGCGAGTGGGGCTGGAGCTGAGAGGGCTGGAGCTCCCGCCTAATGGTCCTGTCTTCCTGAGTGGTGGGACTGACGGTCAGGATGGACCAACAGAGGCAGCAGGGGCTATCACTGATGGGGGGTTGTATGGAGAGGCACAAGCACAGGGGCTGGACATCGACAACTTCCTTACCAACAACGATTCTTACACTTTCTTTACACGTCTCTCTGCCGGGCAGCGCTTACTCGTGCCTGGCTTAACCTGCACCAATGTGATGGATGTGCACATGCTACTTATTCCACCAATTCCCATTAACATAAGTTAACTGGAGCACACAAAACAAAGTGATTGTAGTCCAGTGGATCTGGATAAATACCCAGATAAAAGTACTGTCTGTCTGTCTTTGGCAGTGTAGTTTTTTGGCCCATATCTGTGAAAAGACTGGTATTTCTATATTAAGTTCTAACGGCCACAAAGTTTAAGATCATCAGCATCAAGCTTTCAGCAGGGAACAAAAAGCTTATAAATAGTGGACTTGCTACTCCTACTCTAGCAAAAGAGACATCAATGACATCGGTACTTTCAAACAACAAATGTAATATCAGTATTTTCACAAAACCTACAGTCTCTTTTTCAGCTTTGCTGCTGTTTTTTTCAGGTAATTCAAGGTACCTAAATTAGCTGATGGTTTTGTTGTTTGGTTGATTTAACAATGACTGTGTACATCATTAAACAAGTCTGTAAATACACACAGCAGTACACTATACTGTACTACAGACTTGTCTTTACCATTATAACAGTTATAATATCTGACTGTAAGATGGCTCATACATTGCCCACAGAAAGTGTTCAACCCCTTTTGACTTTTTCATGTGTTATTATTTTACATTAAATCACAGTGGCTTTAACTACGATTTTTAATACATATTAACAAAAAAGACTAATTTCCAAAGCTAAATAAATATGTACTGAGCGCAAATATATGTATGTTTGCCTTCCTCAAGCAAAGAGGCACCATTGGCAGCAATTACAGCCTTGAGTCTACCCAACATGGATAGGCTGGTTTTAGCTTTGCACATGTTAATGCTGCACTTTTTTACCCACTGTTGATCCTTTTAGATACATTTAGCAAAAATCAGTTGTTACACCTTGATAACACACATGATTTTCATTCAAATTCTGCACTTCAGGTATGTTATAAATGGGGTGAATGAGTTTCTGTAATCAATTGTTTTGTAATTTATGTACTTAATTTAGGAGGAGTAGAAGAAAAACATGAAAAAGTCAAAGGTAGGGTGAATATTTTAGACGGACACTGTATCTTCCTTCCAGTGCATACCAGGCTCCTTACATGTTATAAGAAACACATTGGTTGTTTAAGTTTTATGGAAAATCAATGAATATGTAAAACATGAACTGCTTTTCATGGCTCTGTATTCTAACAGACCATGTGCTTTATTTATGAAATAGCAGTGATAGAAATGACCCTGTCCACGTCAAATAATCTTCTTAATCATAACTGGGTACATGCACATCATTCACTTATCCCTCTTGTGGCATTTCAGGATTACCATTAAAAAAATATCCACATTATCCTGTGTGTCCTGTCTTGAAAACTACTACTGGTACTTTTTTCTTCCATTCATCATTTAATTCCAAGTCCAATTATTTATTTCTTGCTTGCAGTCATAAGTGTTCTTAAAGCACCCTTAATTTACACACAAGCCCATTAATATGTTTCACATTTGTGCTGAAGCCTCTTTGGGGGTGAAAAAATTAACAGTTGACCACTAAGCCAAACAGATCAATCTAGGTATTTATGCAGAGTTCTGCTCAATGACAAATGTTGACAAACCAAAATAAATATCTCACAGCACTTTAAAGTTGATTTAGTGGATCACTGTTGGTTTGCATGAAAAACAATAACATGTTTCTCCAGGCAGCTGCCAGAAGGTGCATGCATCTTAAATGCACCGAAGATATTCTCAGCAAAACTTGAGGATGCATTCAGTGTCTCTGGGAGATATACTAACTGTCCAGCTCTCATTTGGATAAAATCCAAAGTCCAAGACCATTGTCCTGTTAATCGCGATGAGTCTTCAGGGTCTCTCCTACTCTGGTTTCCCTGCAAGAAGAACAGAAATGTAATTACTAATTAAATTAAATTGCATTACAATAAAACCCCACCCAACCACACATGTTGAGCTGTTCAGCTGAGAAAAATTAGAAATGAACTGCACTGTATCCATTCAACTGTGGAACAACAGGCAGTCAATCAGAAGAAGTACATCATAGAAAAATAACATGCTAAATCTAGCTTCTGCACTAATGGCGACCCACCCAAAACTGAAGCATCAGACAGTGTGAGAAAGCTAAACTACCTGTGTGAAGTGACATGTATGCTTTCACACCTACCATCCACTCAGGTGAGGAGCTGTCTCAGGTGTCCCTCCGTTCTGTCCAGTACCTGAACATCAACAGCAAACAGTCAGAAGTGAAGCCAACGTAGCTTAGCACTAGATTAGCAAAGTCATAACAGATGTCAGAAACAAAACTCACCTTGCCGATAATACATGTCGTTCACCGTATTCCCGTAGACTTTCCACGCGAAGTGAATTGCGATAAGACTAAAAATTAACCAGCTGAGAAGGATTTTGAATATGGAAACTCTCATGTCGTTGGCGAGCCAGTCGTCAACAAATTCAGAGAGGAACGACACGCAGCTGTCAGCGATACGGGACAGAAACTCAAAATCCCACGGTTCCTCCATGATGTCCGGTTGTTCGGTCTGTGTGAAATCAACAGGGTGAAGTCTTACTCCGATGGATATCCTTTTAAAAACATCGCTTTTGGCTAGGTAACGTATGACACACCGGTCGCCATCTCTACCGTTACGATGTTTGTGTCAGTGGCGAGGAATGAAGAATCGGAGATGACGTAGGTTACGTAGGTTACGTAGCGTGGCCCCTACTCGCTCGTAACGGCAAACGTCAGTTGTAGCGAAGCTACTCATTTAATAATTCATAACACTCCCAACCGTCAACCGTTACTTTTTAAACTGTTATCCGGCAGCGGGTTCCATCTTTAACTGTATCTCCGTGAGCCCGCAGACGTTCACTGTCTGCCAGGAGTCAGAGGACGTGTACCCGGGGCGAAGACAACCTTTAAATACAGTATTATTTTGTGCTAGCTTGTAGTAGCAGGCTGGGGGAATGGTGGCCAGTGCCGTCTGGAGATATTGGGTTTAAACATTAGAGTGAGTCGTTACAGACACACAGTCGACCGCCGTCAGATGAACAAACCCTCTGATTACGAGTAACGGACGAGTAACGGACGAGAGCGGGTGACACAAATGCAGCTACTTAGCTCCTAGCAACCTTTACTATGTTAACGTATTGGCTGAAAACACAAGTGCCCATTCCTGGTTTATAATTTTATTACACAGCTACAACTCGTACATGTAAACGACGTTCAAATAAATGTACAGACAAATCAGTAAAAACTACAACAACACGCTTCACGCAGTCATCGTACGTAGCTAAAACTCGCATGACGTTTGCGTTGCGCTGCTGTCTGCTGGAACGTCCCCCGAGGGGGCGGGACTAGCGGCAACCACCGAACACTCTGATTGGTCAGCCGAGCTTGTCATCAGAGATTCCGGATGTCTGCTGTGGTAAGAGGAAAATTTGTTTTCTGCTATTCTTGACAGCTTGTTTGCAACCGGGCTGCTGATGAAAGTTAATGTAGCGAATTAGATATTCAACCCAACGTTTCGACGGTACAACATCGTAAGTATTACTCTTTGTCTCCACCTGTCTAATATTAGTTGACCACGATTGCTTGCATGCTCACTGTTAAGCCAAGGCCATGAAATTGATCTCTCTCTCTCTCTCTCTGTGTGTGTGTGTGTGTGTGTGTGTGTGTGTGTGTGTGTGTGTGTGTGTGTCGCTTGCTAGCACGGCGGTGTTAGCCATGAAACTAACTTAACGTTACAGTCAACATATGCTGAGTTGCATCGGAATTACAGTCAAACATTAATCAGAATGGAAAAGTGAGCTTTCTTGGCGATGAGAGAGTAAGCACGCAAGCAAACACCAGCTTTATAAGTAACTTCAGCTATTATTAATCAAACGTCAGCTCCCTAGCGTTGCCGGTCACATAACAGCCACCGACTGCTGTTTATCTGTAGTGTAACATTAGCCAGGCTGCTGGAAGTTGTAATCAGTCTTAAATTCCAGAGTCTGTTTCGTATCTTTGAGTTGTAATTCTCCTCTAACCAGTTATCCTCTGTTATCATGTGACCACTGGCCAGTATGAGTGCTCCTATTCATTAGAGATTGAGATGCACGCTGTTTTCATGGTTCAGCTGCAACCGCTGACATACACTAGTTTTGCTCTGTAACTAGTTCATCCAGATTGGTTGGTGATAGTATGCTTTTTCTTTCTGTTCCCAGTGACTGGGATGGTATCATGGAGAGAGACAATCATCAAGAAGGAGTGGCAGAGGGAGTGAAGATTTGTGATCCACCCGCTGAGAGCAATCCACCTGGTAAATTATTTAATCTTTCATTAAAGCCTTTTTGAAAATGTTTACCTGTCTAACCATTCATTTTGCATAATTAAAATCTTGTTTTTCATCTTAGCTGACACCTTGGCGACTTCCCTCTCCCTCTTGGGGAATCACATGTTTCCTGATCCGGTGGAGAGAAATTACGGTACCACTGTTAACAGAGAGGAGCCTGTAGATTCACTCCTGTCAGACGTCTCAGCAGAGGAGCCGAGTCTGAACGCAGAGTCCCATTCTAACCAGGTAACAAAGCTAGAGACTGAGGAGACAGAAAGCCCCGAGTGTCAGAACAATGTGGCCACCCAGCCGTCTGACAGAGGAGCTCAGGATGCTGCCACTGACAGTGACCAGGGCGACTCTGGGGAGTTTGTCGTTACAATGCTGGCCAAGGCCAAGCTGGAGGAGCAAGGTTTAGGTATGAAGGGAAGGTCATCTCCCTTGTTGGAGGCAGGTACCGAGGAATATCCTGCGTTTATGTCTCACCGTGATGAGGACGTGACAGCGGACAGCTGGCGGCAGCACAGGAAGCATGTTTTTGTGCTAAGTGAAGCAGGCAAACCCATCTATTCCCGATACGGCAGTGAAGAGGCTCTTTCATCTACAATGGGAGTCATGATGGCGTTGGTTTCCTTTGTTCAAAGTGGAGATAATATAATCCGCTCCGTATATTCAGGTGAGAGCATTAGAGAGTTTTTTTTCCTCACAACTTTTGTAACATTATTGTAAATGTCATTTTCTATTAATATAAATGAGAACAAGTGTAGAGATTTCACAGAGGATTGTGGTTAGAATATGACCGACCGCAGCAGCTTGGATATTATTAACTTCCCCTTTATATAAAGCCAATGTCTGAAATACAACAGCAAGTAGAAATTCATGCATGTACAGTAATGTTTTACATTTAATTTGTGTTTATTTAATACATTTGTAAATTCCTCTTGAATTTACAATCAATTCCAAGCCCACAACCAAATGTCCAACGTTGTTGAGTGCAGAGGTGTCTGTCATCGTTAGTAGACATTCAGCGTTACCTCCAGTATTATCCTTAATGTTTACTGATGTCTTTTCTTCTTTCCATCAGAGGAAAACACAGTGGTGTTCCTGCAGAAAGGGCCCCTGGTGCTGGTTTGCGTCTCTAGCAGTCGTCAATCTGAGCGGCAGCTGCGTGGAGAGCTCCTCTATGTGTACTATCAGATCATCAGCATGCTCACCCAGGCCAGCATATCCCGCATCTTTGAACACAAAAAGAATTACGACCTGAGGAGACTCCTGGCGGGCTCAGAGAAGATCCTGGACGGTCTTCTCAACCTGGTGGATTCCGATCCCAGTTTCCTTCTAGCAGCGGTACACTGCTTGCCCTTAGCTTCCTCTCTCAGGGACTCTCTCAGCCAGATCCTACAGAAAGCGATCACCCCAAATCTGGTTTTCTCCATCCTCATCGCCAGGAACCAGCTGCTCACCATCGTCCAAGAGAAGACAGTCATCGAGGACACCAGGCTGGAGCCTGCTGATGTCCACCTCCTGCTCAACCTCATTGGAGCCTCCTCTGCCTTTCAGGCTGGGGAGATCTGGACTCCCATCTGTCTCCCCCTCTTTAATCCTGACTGTTACTTTTATGCATACATTTCTTACCTGGACCCTCCAGAATGCACTGTTTGTCTGCTGCTGCTCTCGACAGACAAGGAGGCTTTCTACTCTGTAGCTGAGTGCAAGAGGAAGATAGAGGAGGCCATGGTGGCTCAGAACTCCCTGAGCCTCATTGCCAAAGTCCAGTCGTACAGCGTGAGCCAGGTGGGAGTCTCAGACCTCAGACACTTCATGTACAAGCCCTTTGATGTGCCAGACAACTACCGTCAGCTCACTCAGTTCACCAGGTGCGTATGTGTGTGTTTGTGAATCTGAGACATAAAGTACAGAAGGCCTTTTGTTTAAATTCTGAAATAGAGCTTCCACTTACAGAGAAAAACAAATTAGCTGCCGATCGAAGCCTTGAAGGAGAAAGTGAAACACAAGTAATCACAGCACTAACGTGATGTCACTGTTCAGAATACGGTGCAACTGTATCACAGTATCTTAGATTATGTGAAAACTTTGTATGCCTTTACTGTCTGTAATCTTGACTCTACAATGTATTGCTGCTTGCAGCCCAGAGATGGAGGCACCTTACAGCAGTGAGGAGGAGAAAATGAGACTGTTGGACCTTTATCGTTATATGCACAGCCGCATCCACAGCACTTCACGACCCCTCAAGCTCATCTACCACGTCGCTGAGAGGGAAACTCTGCTAGCCTGGGTATGTACTGTATCTGTGTTTATGGATCTAAATACTGTCTTTGTGTGCATTTGTTTATTTTTGACCTTTTCTTTGTTATTGTTCAACATTTTTGGAAATTTGCTTTCTCGCTTAAGAGTTTGATGAGGAGATCGGTATCGCTCTCATATCTGTTCAGTATAATAGCTGGAGCCAGGAGTTAGCTTAGCTCAGTATGAAGGCTAGAAAAAATGACAAATTGTGGTTTTATTCTGGGTTATCTGCAAGACTGTTTATCTGCTGAACACAGTGAATATTTACACAGAACATAACTTGGGGAGCTTTAGAGATGCTGGTAGATAGATTTCTTTATCTTTGAAACAACCAGGCTAACTGTTTCCAGTCTTTATGCTAAGTAAAACTACAGTATTCTTATACTCATGCCGACAGTGATGGATTGTTTGTGTCTTTTTAGGATCAAATTTGATGTCCTCACCTAAAATGTCCACTTTCCTCTCCACTGTAGGTCACAAGTAAATTTGAGCTGTACACCTGCTTCAGTCCTCTGGTGACAAAGGCCTGTGCCATCACTGCTATCACTAAGCTTCTACGGTGGATTAAAAAGGAGGAGGACCGTCTCTTCATCAGATACCCCCCAAAGTATTCAACCACCCCAAATCCCAGCAAGAGCTCTCGAGGTGGCAAATCTGACCAGCAAGACTCCACAGATAACGGCTTCTTATCTCTTCTATAGGACTCTCTTAGTGCTACTATAGTTGCTCTGCCTCATTCAACAATAGTTTGTACACTGGTTCCAAGATATTTTTGAACCCTCTTTTGACACTTGACAGACATTGACTACTGGAATCAAACACTATGTTTTACACTATTTAAAAGGAACGACCTCTTTCAGACTAATATTATTTCTTTACCTTAACAAGAAAGCATGTCATTGCATCACTGCTTTCAATCTGAAAGAGTCAGGGCAAAACCGCATTAGTACGTTTTAAATTGAACTGTGGTAGAAAACAATTGCAATGATATTTAAATGTTTTTATATTGTTTTAATACTTTTTCCTCACGGACAGTGAATGTACCATGCAGATGACAGTTCATTCATATGCTATAACTATTCATTGCTTCTTTCTTGTTTAATTTAAGATGAGGAGTTAAATTAAGTTTTTTTCTCAAATTAGTTCTCACATAAAGATTTCTTTCATGACACAAAAACCCCCCAGAAAACAGGAAGAGTGCAAGAAATGAAAGCATGTTGTGTTTTGGGCTCAACAACAACTGGAATAGCAACAACTGGAACTGACAGAACAGGGATGGGCCACCATGTGTCATACAGGGCCGTGAACTAACAAATTGCCCTGCATGAATTTTGTTGCACGTCCCTGTGACAGAACTTTACTACGTGGTGTTGTTTCATATCCCACTGATGTTTCTAATCAAATTTAAATGATCAGGTTTCATTAATGTTACATTTTGTGCAGAAAACAAGTAGGAAATCCAGCCTGTTACACCTGATCACTTTACATGATCATCGTCATTGTTAGTGTTTTTATTGCTAAGAGTCAATACTTGTTAGTTTGCACATCCTCTGTTAAGCTAAGAAGATGTCACTGAGCTCATGCAATGTTTTTCTGCAGATACTTGTAGTACGATTTATCAGTTGACACTTAATGTAGTGACTTCAGGCGACTTATCTTTTTGGATAATAGTTTTGTAAAGATGGTCTATAAACAGTAGCCTCATCCTTGTGTCCTTTGAGGAATTTCCTGTCAATTCAAGTCTTAAGAGTATGTCTATAGTATTATGAAATAAATCCCAGGTTGCACAAATCAACACTTGTCCTAATTAAGTGGAGATGTCATGGTTAAGCTTCATGTGTTATCTGCCAAGAAATGAAAAGTTAACATTAAGTAACGCTTAGCTTAAGCATTTTCGTGGAAGAACGGTGTAATTTGGTATTAATTATAGGAAATATAGTCAGTGAACTGAACATGCAGTTATGGGAAATTTGTCTACACGCCAGCATTCAACCGATCCCAAGTTTCCGGTAATTAATTGATGTTTACGTGCATTTCAATGGAGCTGTTCTTTCGAGGAATTATTATTAGTATCGTATTACATTGTTCTTTCCAAGAAACACCTGAGAACATTATTAGGAATTTAAAGAGACTGTCAGGATGTCTTTGATCAGTGCCATCTATTGTGTACAACTTCAGGGAGCTCGATGTGACCTGAAGGTCAACCTGAGCCTGAGTCAGCTTTCCTAAGTTAAACAAAGAACCCAGTGTGTGTTTGGGCGATGTTTATCGCTGCGTACCTCCCTTTAAACACTCAACAAAGTGTTAATACCAGTGGTGAACTGCTGCATGTTTAGCGTTCAAGGTGTGACGTGTGACAAATATATTGTGTGCAAGTATTTTTTTAGATTAATGGTAAATATGTATTTATAATTAATGATATAGTACAATAATGAGTTGATAACCTCAACTCAAATACCTGATATATACAATATGGGCGCTTGATATTTCCTGACATTACAAGTTAAATATGATCACATAAATATTGGAGCAACTGACCACCACACAATGGATTAATGGATAATATAGGAAGCTGATGCACTGTTTGCATCTTCCTAACGACAACAGCGGGCTGTATTTCTCGGCCACATTTGAAGTCATTAAAGTTCTGATGTATACTGACGTGTGGATGAAGCAAAGTATTCATGTTCAACCCCAGTTGGGTTCAGGTGCTGGACAAAAGCAGCATACAAATATTTAACAATGCTGTATTTCAATCTTCAAGGTCTTTGTCAGGTGAAGAAGACCTTGAAGACGAAATGTTGCAGTTATATTTTTCTGAGCTTGCGTTATTGAGTTTGTAAGATTGTCTCTCATTTTCCAAGAAATGTGGAGGAGCAAATGCGACTTTAACTTCAAACCTTCGTCATTTTCTCTTCTTATATTTAGAGTCTGTCTTGAAATGAAACTTTAACCAGGAGGAAGAAAAACTCCCAATAATACAATGTACTATGTTGAGCAGGTGGTTAATGGAGGACATAACACATGAAGTTGTTTCAAACAGCATTTATTCTTGTGTGAGAAAATATTGTCTCAGGCAGATTATAGATCTTGCAGTACAATTCAAATGACAAGATCAAAAATCTCCTGTGCCACCCAAGAAAAAAACAAAAAAAAAAAACCTCTTGTAGACTAGTACGCTTACTGCTGCCTACAGAGCTCAGGTCTTGTGCCACCTCACTTCTAGAGAATATCTTCTGACATGTTGGTGAATACCGTCACTATTACAAAGAGCTACTTAGCATCATACATAAATCTTTTCAATATTTTACTTTTTAAATAACACTCTCGACTGCCACAAATTATAAATTAAAATCTAAATTTGATTTTTGCATTCCTTAAATTACTTCATGTAAGCCAATATAAACATACATTTACATATTTACAAAACTATACACATGCACCTTTACTACACTGAGGTTGTATTCATATATGTATATACTGTACACACACACACACACACACACACACGCTCGCGCACACACACACGTACACACGTTTTTGCCACACATATGGCTCCCGGAGTCACCAATCCTAAGTTGTTGGTTTTTTTTGTTTTCTTTTTTTAAAACAGACCGATTGTGCTTTTCAAGTAATTTCCGCCAGATTTGCAAACAATTGCAATTTCTTCAGTGAGTGATCGCAGTAGAAGTTGTCATAACCACAAAATAACCAGCATCACCTCTATAGTGGCTTCACATCTTACGAACCAAGTAGCTGCACCGGGTACTCCAACGTTCTAGTATCATAATACAGTTTCACAATATGGAAAAATAAGTAAAGACCTCTGAAGTCCCACCTTCAACACGTCATAACTGGATTAACAGTTCAAGAATGTTTGTGTTGGCACCCCATTGACCTAAAATTATCAGTGTTTCTATTCATTGTTCTTTGACACATATCTTGTATCTACTGAGCAGTTCTCAGAATTGTTGAATAAACATTGAACCAGTCATGCTCCACTTCCAGCTTAGCTTTAAGATTAATGTCCATGCCAGCTCAAGCAGGTTTGATGTATTTCTTTTTGAATGATGCTCCATTTGATATCAGTGGTAAGTAAAAGGTTGGATCATACGGGATTCAATGGAGGGAGGATCTGAAGGCCAGGTTTGTTTTTTTAAGTTCATATAATATTATTACCAACACTACATAGAATTTGTCAAAGCCGAACATCCATAGACTCCAGATATGATGTGAACACTGAGTGGGACTTTCACACTTCATAAAACACAGTGACATTTCAATGGCAAATACAATCTAAATATGTTTTGAATCAAGACAATCCCTTTGACGATTAAATATTTACACTTTTCACGCTGAAGTCTTGACTCACTTTGGCCTAAAATAAAAACTTTATATGAACAAATAGCAACAGTGGTTGTGTAAAATCTTTTTTTTTTAAAATGTCATGAATAAATGAAAAAATTCATCTTTGCATCTCTGCACTTTTTTCTTTACGTTTTAAAAATCAGAGCAACAGTTTTATGCAGAAAACCTTCAAATACCAGCAAATGTTCATTTCACTTTCCCACCTTTTTAAGAGCATTGATGAAGCTTCTATACATACAACCAGGCATCCTGTTTAAGATGATCAACTCTTGAAACTAAAAAAAAACAACTATATAAAATTGGAGGGAGTGAAATTTAGATTTCCTCTCACGTGATTTAAATGCACCATGGCCCGGTCGTATGCAGTGTGTACAGACTTGCGAACGCTGGGTTTCTTGCCTTCCATTAAGCGCAGTTTGTCCACGGTGTCGTCCATCCCCAGCGGCAGTAGTTTGGTCCGAGGGAGCCATTGCCTGAAAACCAAGAGGGTTAAATTCAAAATGACCAAGACTGCTTCCCCGATTGTTTTAAAATTCAGCATGAGGTTTAGCCCTGCCTGTATGAGTCTTACCAAGTTCTTTTGGTGTCAAAGAAGAGCACTAAGAAGAGCTTTTCGCCTTCTTCCGTTTCTCTCCATTCGCCCAGTTTGAGCACCTCCACAGGAGGCACTGGAATGGGGATGCCATTGTGAAGAAGCCCTTCCTGGGGCATGTCTGGGTCAACAATCTGCAACAATAAATTATGTCAGTTGCGGTTGACTGAATTATCATTTCCTTCTATGGGGTGCAATGAGGCCTTTTTTCTTTATGTCAGTTCTGAGACTTTGCACTACGAGCCAAAAGAAATGCTACAGTGTGTACACCATAGATCAAATATATCCTCACCATTGCTGGGTATGATGGATATCCTCTGCATTTGGCCCAAACTAGGTCCAGAGGTGAGAGCTCGGTCTCACTATCTAAAGACAGAAGTGTAGACTTTCCTGTGAACAGGATATTCCAATATATCCAATTAATTTCTGTTCATGACAGCTCTTGAGCCCAAATTGAGAATTTAATGAAATTGAATTGCTTATGACAATTGTAAACTTTTGTTTTTTTTTTATGTGTAGAATTTTACATTATGCCTCCAATAAACACAAAAACTGAGGCATTTCACAGTATTTTGATTGCTCTTCTCGTTGTACACACCAGACCCAGAGATGTCTCCATTCTCACTGCTGGGAACTTTAGCCAATGCAGGTTTACCACGACTTCGTTTGGGTGGGGAGACACTACAGCTGTAAAGGACAGGAGAGGTGGGTGATTTTTAAGTTAATTCACAATTTATGTTGAGACTAATATAAAATACTTAAGAATGTCAAAGACAACGGGACTCATACAACAATATACTGAGTGAATATAATATGAATATTCAACTATTTGTTCCTCTTTTTTTCCACTTCAGTGCCACACTTAACGCCTATATCAGCAGTTCCTGAGGTGGAAATGCGGCTACATGAGTCTCATGTTTTAGCCTAGCTCACGTTTTAATGTCTTTCTTTGTGGTTTGGCCGACTTGAGTGACAGTTACCATTGTCAGAGTTGTGCCACCCTGCCTCAAGTTGTCTGGCATTAAGCCGTCCTCTGTTAACTACCACTCTTCTCCACTTCCATCCCAGTTAGTTTGTGGTTTGTTGGTCGTTTTGAGAATCGGTTTGTAAAGTTTACAGGCCTTGAACGTGGAAATATATCATACAGTGACAATTTATGAACATTTTAATTTTGAACAAGGTTTGTTTAATTCACAGTATGTGTATATATTCAGCTCAAGCCATTATTTTCTTTTTCTGGCGAGTGTGTTTTGCCCTCTGTGAAGAAAGGCAGACTATATGTACATTTATGACCACTTGTGAATGTCATTTGTATAACAAAATTGGTTATTGCCAGAAATTCCCTTAAATTGCGCCACTGAAGAACATATTAGCGGTTCTCACATGAGAGCATTTGCCTCTGCGAGTCCATACTCACTTTAGTTTTTGGTCGTCATCATCATGGTCTGCATGGGTGTGCTTTCCGTTTGTCAGGCCTAGCAAAAAACCCACATAAAGTAGTGACTTTCTAGAATCTCAAGAATGTCTCTCTCTGTAATAAAGCAATGTATTTTGTCCTTACCTCCTTCTCTGGGTGTTGGAGGAAGTTTGTCTGCTTCACTCTCTGAGCTGTGGCCTCTGGATCTCAGGTGGTGTGAGGAAGGAGAGGGAGGTGCAGGGGAAGCGTTGGGCGTAGGAGGTAAGGTGGTGATGTTGGTCACACTCTGTGAATTTGGGCTGGCGGGGGTGCTGTCCAACCCGTTTGTTTTCTCCTCGGACGTTTTCCCATTCTGTTGTGGCGGGGATTTGTTTTTTGCCATTCGCGCTCCATTTTTAGCTTTCTTAAACAGAACAGA